CCCACCCCCCAAGGGGAACTTGGGGCGTTTCTAGCCCTGAAACGGGAAGTGAGTGTCTGTTTCCCAGGCCCTGTTTGGGGAATTCGGTTCTGGTCCATGGACACGCGTGGGCGCCTGCGGTGTGCCTGGGGCTGGGGTCCTCGAGGGAGGCATTTGCTAAGACTCATCTCACTATGCGTTTAAAATAACTTATTGTACGTAATAAATGACTGTATGTAATGCTTTTATTTTTTAATATACATTTTAAAAAATATATTTTGTTGGTTTCGGAGAGGAAAGGAGAGGGGGAGAGAGAGAGGGAAACATGGTTGATAAGAGAATCACTGACTGGCTGTCTCCTGCGCGACCCCCACTGGGGATACAGCCTGAAACCGGGCATGTGCCCAGACTGGGGAATCGAACCTGACCTCCTGTTCAGCCGCCAGTGCTCCACCGCTGAGCCACGACGCCGGCTACGTGTGCTTCTTTAACTGTTAAGAAGATCCCAACTTCTCTGTCACCATGGCAACATGCTCTGAAACTGCCTGCAATTTCTGTTGGTGCCGAGTCACCGCAGTTGCTGGTAGCTTTGTGGTGTGTGCTCTCCATTCACAACAGAGAGAGATGCTCGGTCGGCTAGAGGACCAGGAAAACAGCCAGACTCTCCCCGCAAGACCCCGGGTGGGAATGTGTGCTTTGGAAATACGCTCTGGAGAGCCTCCAGGCATCTCCCGTCCCCGTGGGGGTGGAGGGCGGTTTGTGGAGGGAAAGAAAGCTACCATCCAGAAAACATTGCCAGAGAGGTGCCCTCCACTCCCGCTGGGGGATTGATGACGAAGGTGGGAATCCGGGAGGCCCTCCTGGAGGAAGTGACACTGGAGCTGGGCGTTGGCAGACTGGCGGCTAGGACCAGGGCGGGAAGAGATGTTCCGGGCGGAAGGACAGCCAGGGAGCGGCCCGGGCGGGAAGGCGGGTAATGAGTTCCAGACGCTGGTTTCCACAGGAGCCCTTGATCCTGAAGGTCCCTTATTTGCCAAGACCAGGAGCGGCTCAGAGGCTGAGGCATGGTGCCACCCGGCTCCCGGGCTGGCGGGGACCACAGGCCTGCCGATTCCGGAGGGGGAAGGGGTGCCTTTCGGGTTGGGGGGAGTCAGGGGGTGTCCCAGCTGGCCCTCTGCCTCCTCCCCCACAGCCTGTTCAGGGAGATCTGCTCTCCCAGGAAGGCATAGTTGTTTGCCCAGGATGGTCATTCCTTCTCAGTGAGCTGGCTCTGAGGGGAGAGGGGAACCGGCATGCTCCTGCCTGCCTCTCCGTCCCTCCCCTTACAAGGACTGCCGAGAGGCGTGGGAAGTGGAATTCCCACAGGTCGCACAGCTAGTCCTGCAGAGGAGGAAGAATTTAAACCCGGAAGGTGCAGGCTGAAAATAACCCTGAGCCCAATCGATACGCCTGTCTGGTTGCAGGATTGCTTAAGAAATAAATAAAGCTGCTGAAACTGGTTTGGCTCAGTGGTAGAGCCTTGGTCTGCGGACTGAAGGGTCCCAGGTTCGATTCCGGTCAAGGGCATGTACATTGGTTGCGGGCACATCCCCGGTGGGGGGTGTGCAGGAGGCGGCTGGTCGGTGTTTCTCTCTCATCAATGTTTCTAGCTCTCTGTCTCTCTCCTTTCCTCTCTGTAAAATATCAATAAAATATATATATTTTAAAAAGAAATAAATAAAGCTCTCACTGATTTGGCTCAGTGGACAGAGCGTCAGCCTGTGGACTGAAGGGTCCCAGGTTCGATTCCGGTCAAGGGCATGTACCATGGTTGCGGGCACATCCCCAGAAGGGGGTGTGCAGGAGGCAGCTAATCAATGTTTCTCTCTCATCAATGTTTCTTTCTTTCTTCTTCTTCTTCTTTTTTTTTTTAATAGAAGCTTGTCTTTTTTTTTTTTTTTTTAATGTATTTTATTGATTTTACACAGAGAGGAATTGAGAGGTACAGAGAGCTAGAAACACTGATGAGAGAGAAACACCAACCAGCCGTCTCTTGCACACCCCCCATCAGGGACATGCCCTTGACCGGAATCGAACCTGGGACCTTTCAGTCCGCAGACCGACGCTCTATCCACTGAGCCAAACTGGTCCCGGCCGTTTCTTTCTTTTTTTAAAAAAAAAATTTATATGTATTTTATTGATTTTTCACAGAGAGGAAGGGAAAGGGATAGAGAGCTAGAAACATCAATGAGAGAGAAACATCGACCAGCTGCCTCCTGCACACCCCCCACCGGGGATGTGCCCGCAACCACTGTACATGCCCTTGACCGGAATCGAACCTGGGACCTTTCAGTCTGCAGACCGTCGCTCTACCACTGAGCCAAACCGGTTTCGGCTCGGAGAAGTTTTAAACAACAGTATGTGTTTACTTCAAACAATAGACTTAGAGTACCTAAAAGGTTTTGTGTAACGAAGCTTAGGATAATAAAAGCTGGCAGTCCTTTGCCTGCACACCCCGGATTCTTGCTCCCACAGCCAGCCAGTTCCTGTCAGCAGTTACCTCCACTCTCAAGGATGCCCTTGAGAGCGGTGAGCCTGCGTGGGGGCTGGATTCCTGGAGATTTACGTTCTCATTCACTTGCCTTTCATGTCCAAGTCCATTGTTTGGATCCCAAACCTTCCTTTCCCTTCACTGATTTACTTCTTTGCTTTTGACAAGTCCTCTGGGGGCTTCCTGAGACTGGGTGGGGAAGTGCCTGCGAGGGTCTTTGTTCAGGCTTCAGCCTTGATTGACAGTTTGGCTGGGTATGGGATTCTAGAATGGAAATCCTTTCCTCTCCGAATCTCAAAGGCCTGGCTCCATTGTCTCCCAGCTCCCAGTCCCCCAAGTTGGAGCCGCATTTCCTACGATTGCTGTGCTGCTCCCTTCCTTCCCGTCCTGCCTGGGGGAGAGCCGCCTCCTCTCTACCCCTCACCTCTCTGACCTCCAGCCCAACTCCCTCCAACTCCACTAGCCCCTTAAGCCCCTAAAAGATTTACTTTTTAGTTTTATTTTTGTTGTTGTTTTGTTGTTAATCCTTACTTGAGGATATTTTTCCCCATTGATTTTTAGGGAGAGTGGAAGAGAGGGGGAAAGACAGAAACATCGACGTGAGAGAAACACATCCGCTGGTTGCCTCCTGCATGAGCCCCAGCCACCAGGGCCCCGGCTGGGGAGGAGCCTGCAGCCAAGGTGCTTGCCCTGGACCGGAATCCAAGCTGGGACCCTTTGGTCCGCAGGCTGAGCCAAACCGGCTAGGGCTACTTTTCAGTTTTTTAATTCAAACTTTTTATTATTATTTTGTATTCGTTTCAGGTGGCAATCATATGCTTTACAAAGTGTCCCCCCCTATAATTCCAGGACCCACCTGGCACTCTACTTAGCTATCTCCATACTGGTAGCCCTGCCCATGAATCCGTGCGCCAGTCACTCTGCAGGGCCTGGCCGCTCTGTGCCCGCAACCCAGATGCTCTCTGCGGCCCGGAGGCCCATCTGCGGCCGGCGCGGAACGGTGCCTCATCGCCTGGGCAATGAAGCAAGCATTCAGCCAGTTCGCTCACGCCGCCGCTCTCCGTGGCCGCCCCCAGGACTGGGGCCTCCGGTGGGGCTGAGAAGTGGGCACCGCCATCTTGTGGCTGTGGGCGCCACCATCTTTGTGATGGAGTGACAGTTAATTTGCCTATTACCCTTTTATTAGGATTGACAATATCTCCCGGGCTGTACAGGTCTGTCTTGTCAAACCTCTCCTGCCCCTCCCGTCCTTGGTCTGCCTGTGCGTCCCTCCTGATTCTGCCGCCCAGACGCCAGGCCTGTGAGCCGGGGGCCGGAGTGCTGGAAACACCCACGCAGGTCAGATGTGACTCCCCGACGCCCCTGCTTCGCTCCCCTCTCTGCTGTTTCTCCGTCACCGCCACGGAGACCGAGCGGGAGCTCTCCGAGGGGCTTGCAAATGCCCGTCCCCACCCCCGAGGAGCGCGGCTGGTTCCCGCTGCAGAAGGGGCAGGAGCACCTCGTCACGTGGCATAAAGGCTCAGTCAGGACCCAGAACACTCCCACCGAGCGGCATGGGGAGGACCGACACCCAGTGGCCAGCCCAGTCCTGCTTCCTCCCCACGGGGGACAGCTGTTCAGTGAGGTCCTTGGGCCTCAGGCTCCTCTGTCAGGCTGCCAGGGTGAGATGCCCCCCCCACCACTGGGTCCCCCCAAGTTTGGGGAACTCCCCGCACCGTAGGAATCTGACGGGCTCCTTGCCCAGGCTGTGCCAATCAGAGGCCGGGCCCTGGCCTTGACCAGAGAGGCACACGGCTGAGGAGCAAGGCCGGCAGACGGGTTTGCACCGTGGCGGTGACCCAGGCCAGGCGTCCGTGCGGGAGGGCGACACACGGCCAGCAGATACAAACTATTCTGTACGTTTGGGGGCGTCTGCATGTGTCATCCTTCAGAAAGATTTATTTTCAGGAGAGCAGCACTGGTTTGCTCTCCCACGTGTCGATGGGTTCACTGGCTAATTCCGGTGTGTGCCTGACCGGAGAGCGAACCCACGGCCTTGGCATACTGGGACGCCGCCCTGCCCTGCTCAGAAACACTCCCCACGGCAATGTCTTCCTGAGCCCGAATCCATGAGCTTGAATGTCCCCTAGTGGGCCCATAAAACCCCCGTAGCCATGTTCATAGGATCAGAATCCAGGACACGATTTTTTATAATGTAAAAAACGCTTACGTTCAATAAAAATGGATAAGACACAGCTGTGTACGGATGGCAGCCACCAGGATGTGCAAAATAAAAGAGGTTAGAATGTAGCAAAAACGGTAAGGAGAGCCCGGGCTGATCTGGCTAGGTGGCTAGAGCATCGGTCTGCGGACTGAAGGGTCCTGGGTTCGATTCGGGTCAAGGGCATATGCCTGGTTGTGGGCTTGATCCCCAGTGGGGGGGAGGGCGTGCAGGAGGCAGTTGATCCATGATTCTCTCTCATCATTGATGTTTCTATCTCTCTCTCCCTCTCCCTTCCTGAGTCAATAAAAACATATTAAGAAAAAAAAAACTTTAAAAAAATGTTAAGGAAAAAAAGAAAAGAGATAGAGGTAGGGGAGGAGGAGGTAAAAACCACCTTTCTCTAGATGGTCTTTAGGAATAGTCTGCGGTTCCTCCCCGCACCCCGAAGCTCCCCGGCCACAGTCTCGGGGGAGGTGCGCTGGAGCCATGGTCTGTGGCGTGTCCCCCGCTGCCCGGGCCGCCCTGGCGCCCATGCGGCCCCTGGAACCGGGCTCTGCCTGGGGCAGGGGCCTCCCGGGTCACTCCATTCCTAGTCCCTGTCCCCTTTCAGAGAGGCCGGGAAGCTAACTCCAGTGTGGGGGTCCCTCCACCCGCACAGGGGGCCCAGCCTCACCCTGAGCCCGTCTGCTGCCCAGCAGCCGGCCCCACGATAGCTGTGGCCTCAGGCCCCCAGGCCAGGGGCGAGGGCGGCTCCTGGGCACTCCTCAGCTGAGCCCCGAGGCCTCTCCCGGGAGCCCGGCCGGGAGCCCGGCCTCAGGCCGGTGGCACAGGGTCAGCGTCCGCCCCTCCATGAGCCAGAAGACGGGGCGGAGGGGCTGGGTGAAGACGGCGTGGAAGGTGTGCAGGGGCTGGGTCTCGGGCTCCAGGCTGTAGAAGGTGAGGCAACCAGCGGCCAGGTCCAAGTCCACGCCCAGCAGCGGCCCTGGCACCGCCCGGAGGCGCCGGGCCTCCCCGCCGTGCCGGGCCTGGGCGCCGTCCTCCTCCACACACAGCCCCCAGGAGCCGGGCCCGCGGCCGATGTTGTCGGTGAGGGGCCCCCGCCGGCGCCGCGCCAGGCCCGGGTAGGCCACGCCCAGCGTCACCAGGTGGCTGGACGTGAGCACCTCCCAGTAGTGCCGCCCGGACCCGAAGCTCTGGGCGCACTGCACCTGCCAGAGCTCGAAGCTGCCGGGCCCGGCCGGGCCCCGGGGCTCTCGCCGGTGCTCCACCTGCCGGCCGTGCCGAGACAGGTAAAGGTGGCGGTTGGCGCTCTCCGGGTCGAAGGTCAGGTTGCGGTAACCTGTTGGGGAGAGACAGACGGGAGGTGAGCGGGCAGGGTGCCTGTGCGTGTCCACCCCCTGGGTGCTCCGTCCGGCGGCGGCCTCTGAGGCAGGACCGGCCTCAGCCTCGTTTCCCAGATGAGAAGACGGAGGCCCAGAGAGGGGACTGATTGACAGCAGGGCGAGGAGCAGGACCGATCCAGCTCCGTGCGCCTAGGACCGCCTCGAACACTACACTGGCTCCGCGCCTAAGAGGTGTGCCACCCGAGACAGGGGTGCCGGGGGCGAGGCCAGACCAGGGAAGGGCATGGACGGGGCAGTCATAGCATGTGCCACACACACACACGTGTACACACACATGTGCTCACGGTGCATGTGCGTATCCACAATGCGCTCACGCACGCACACAGGTGCACACACATGTGCTGGGCCTCCTTACTCTGCCAGAGTTTCCTCCTCAGCGGACACACCGAGCTTGGGACCAATGCCAGGGCGCCTGGGGTCTCTAGGGGGCAAAGCAGTGTTAGGGGGAGGGGGAGGGGGCTCACGGGGGCTGGGCCCTGATTCCACTCCCACCCCCGGGGGGAGGGAGAGATGCGGGGTCAGCCTTACCCGGGGGACCCGAGTCAGCCGCCTCGGCTGGGGCCCCGCGGGGGTCCCCACTGTCCAGCAGGAGGCCACAGAGCTGGCTCAGAAGTCCCTTCAGGCCGTCCAGCTGCTGGTCGGCATCCCACTGCGGAGGGGTCAGCGGCCCGAGAGGCCCTGGGGGCGCCAGGAGCTGTGAGGCCTGAGGCCCGGGGCAGCTGCGGTGAGCGGGGAGCAAGGGGCAGGCGCCCCGCCCCTCGGCCCGCCGCCCGCCGCCCCGGTACCTGCAGGAAGGTTCGGTCGTCCGGCTGCTCCAGGAGGTCCCGCGCCCTGCGGCCAAAGGCGGCCGCGGCCTCCAGGTGGCCCCGCAGCCGCCGCTCCTCCGCCTGGGCCTGCGCCAGGGCCCGCGCCCTGGCCGCCTCGATGCCCCGCAGCGCCCGGGTCTGCCGCAGCTCCAGTGCCCGCAGCAGGCTGCCGAACTTGCCAGAGACCACGGAAGCCAGGGTGTGGGCCGAGCTCTGGGTGGGCACAAAGGAGCCTGGATGGCCGGAGCCCACTGGGCTGAGGGGTGCGGATATGGGGAGACGGGGTCCCCGGAGCCTCTCCCGCCCCCCCCTCCCCCCGTCAGCCCCTCGCTGTCTGATGCCAGGAGGCATTTTCGAGGTGGCTCAGACCTGCCGCCCAGGGGCCCAGGGAGAGCACAGGAAGCGGGGGGCGGGACAGGCAGGCCGCTACCTGGATCTGGCCGCTCCGCCGCTGCAGCTCCTGGAGCTGGCTCTGGGCCTGGGCGGCCTGCTGCCGGGTGACCTCCAGCACGGCTCTCAGCTGGGCCTGTGTGCCCACCGGGGCCAGGGGCGGGGACAAGAGGGGCCAGCATTGGCTGTGAAGTGTCCCCTCCTCATGCCGCCCGGCGAGGCTGACCAGGGGCACTCCCGTGTGGCGGTGCCCCCTGCGGCCCCTCAGGACAGAAGCGTAAGGGAGAACGCCCGCCGCCAGGATTTGCGTCCCTGCACCTGGCCAAGCACCTGCCCGGCGTCCTCGCCTCCAGCCACACACCCCGGTGAGGATGGTGTCCCCACTTCCGGACGAGGAAGTGGTGAGAGAGGCTGACAGGGTGCCAGCGCCATCCGATCTCCCTGAGTCCAGGCCCGAGCAGGAAGTGGGTCATCTGACTCCCCCAGAGCACCCCCAGCAGCCCTCCTTCCCTTCCCTCCTTCTGGCAACCCCCCCTCCACTGGCACACCGCCTGTCCCCGTCCCTCCCTGTTGCTGTCATCTACTGGCCCCTGCCAACCCTCATGCTCAGTGCCCATTTCTGTGCCACCAGCATTCTCACCCAGGCCTGCTCCCCGAGACCTGGGCAGCCACGGGGCCACCTCCTGACCTCTGGCTCTGGCTCCTGACCGCCTCACCTGCACAGCCCTTAGCCTCACCCCCAACCGCCCACCGGGCCTTGTCCCCGCCGGGCCTTGTCCCCGCCGGGCATCTATTCCGAGCGCCTGTTTTCTGACCGCCAGCTGCGCACAGAGCAGGGGGCACCGGGCATCACCTCGCGCTCCCGGCGCTCAGCGTCCAGCAGCGCCCTCTCGTGGAGGCGGCAGTCGCCGACGGTGCAGGCGCTGCACACGCAGCGGCCCTCGGTGCGGCAGAAGAGCTCCAGCGGCCGCCCGTGCTGCGGGCAGCGCTCGGGGCCGGGGCCGGGGCCGGGGCCGGGGCCGGGGCCCGGGGGCTCGGCGCGCACCGCCTCCACCACGCCGCTCAGGGCCACGTTGCGGCGCAGCTCGGCGCCCGCGGGGCAGGGCTCCCGGCACTCGGGGCAGGCGGGGCTGCCCCCGTGGGAGCGCCACCAGTCCCGGATGCAGGCCTCGCAGAAGTTGTGGCCGCAGGACAGCGTCACCGGGTCCCGGTAGAGCTCCAGGCAGACGGAGCAGGTCAGCTTCTCCTGCAGCAGCCGCTGGGCCATGGCGGCGGCGGGGGCGGGCTCAGCCCCCGGGAGGCCGCGCCTTTTAAAGGGACGGAAGCCGCGGGTGCGGCGGGGAGGAGGGCCCGCCTGGGGAGAAGAGGGGAGCCAACGCCACCTCGCCCAATCGCGCCCTGCGCCTCCGCCATGGCCTCCCATTCAGTCCGCGTCCGGAGCCGCCCCGCCTGCCTCCTGCCACCCGGGCTGGGAGGTGGGGTCAGCTCTCTCTGGTCTCTCCCTGGGACCTCCTTCCCGCTTTCCTAGACCTCCGCACGGCAGCTCAGAAGGGTGTCCAGTCCCAGCCTCCAGAGACAAGAGCCCCAAGGGGCCTCCTCCTGGCAGAGGGCCTCACCTGAAAACGAGCCGCCAGCAGACCTCCGGCTTCAGCATTACACGGATGGAGCCGGCGGGAGGTCTGGCACTTTCCCCCGGAGCCCAGTTCCAGGCATTTGCCACACCAGGCGTCTCCCTTCCCCTGGCTCCGTATCCACGAGGTGGGCCTTGTTGGCCAATCAGACAGCCCAGCCCAGCATGTCCACAGCCCCTCATGGAAACTGGAAACATGTAACTATTATACACTTGGCACCCCGTGTGAGCCCGCTGCTGCTCTAGAGCACATGTGTCAAACACAAGGCCCGCGGGCCAAATCCGTCCCGCCAGGCCTTGCAATGTGGCCTGCACCGCGCTGTCATCACTGCACTCCGCTGCGTTTCCATCACAATGACAGTTTATGACTGTTCAGTAAACCATTCGGCCCGCGATTTAGGCTGGATTTTAGATTTTGGCCCCTTCTCTGATTGAGTTCGACACCCCTACTCTAGAGCCTCACGTTTCCAGAGCTGTGGCTCCCGCAGCTGAGCAGAGGGCTTTGGATTGCAAACCCACCTGCCCCGGGGCAAGGCGAGTCTGCCCAGGACCGGCTGGAGGAGGGTTAACTTCTGACCAAGCCGGCCCAATTTATTTATTCATTTTAAATATATTTTTATTGATTTCAAAGAGGAAGAGAAACATCAATGATGAGAAATAGTCATTTATCGGCTGCCTCCTGCACACTCCACAGGGGATCCAGCTCACAACCCGGGAGCATGTGCCCTGCCGGGGAATCGAACCCTGGTTCATAGGCCGATGCTCAACCACTGCGCCAGGCCACCCCAAGACGTGGCTACTGGCACGGTTCGCTGCCCTCAGCGCAGCGCAGCACCGGGTCTTGGGTTGTAAGAATGTGGAGTCGCTCTTTCTGGAGAAGGCGCACAGCTCCTCTGCTTGGCTACAGGCGGCTCTCCCTTCGGAGACAGACGCCCTAACCACCAGGGCGGGGGCAGGCGTGAGCCTGAGGTCTCCGAGCCCTGAAGGCCAGGAGCCTGCACCCCCGCCGGCCAGGGGCCCATGCTCCGAGGGCAGACCTCTTCCCACAGGCCTGACAGGCCTGCTTTTCCTTCTGGATCTTCCGCCACCGGATCACAGGGGTTACTTCCTGGGGTGGCAGGCAGCCCTCTTCCCGCCCACGGAGCAATGCACACCATGGGGTGGGGGGGAACCTGGCTGCTCCTTGAACAGACCAGACCGGCTACAGCAGAAATCATCTTTATTCATACCCACCCTGCCAGCAGAGGCGCCTGAGACAGGGCTCAGAGCCCACAGCTTGGCCCCGGAGCCTGGCAGAGGGCCCCAGGCCCAGCCCGCCCTCTGAGGCGGTGGCAGACTGGCCGCTCAGTAGATGCCATAGGTGGGTTCATGACTGTCCCTGTAGCGGTCCAGGTAGCGAAGGGGCTGTTTGTGGGGGAAGCGCTTCTGCTTGGGGTGGTAAGGGGGTGGCCGCACAAACTCGAACACGGGCTCCCGCATATCTGCAAGAAGAGCGAGGATGTGGCTGTGGACTGCTGCCGGCCCGAACCCCCACCTTGTCTCTAGGGTGGGCCTAGCCAGCCCGCCCAGCGGAGGACTGGGCGACTCCCCGAGACCAGGTCTGGGAAGGTCTGTGAGGGCGCGCCAGCCTCCCCCTCCTGCCCCCACCGCCCCTACCCAGAAGCTGGTGGAAGGTGCGGGTGACCGAGTCGTCCCAGCGGCACTGGAAGAAGGCCAGGCCGGCCGGAGTCATGGCTTCCTGGTGCTTCTTGTAGAAATCAAAGGTGTGGAAGGTCCGCTGGGCGAGCTGGTAGCTGCGAGATGAGAGAATGTGAGTGGGGAGGGATGTCAGGGCCCCACACCCCCTCTGCCCACAGGCAGTCCTGAGAGCCCGAGGGCTGCCCACACGACCATGTCTGCAGCCCAAGTCCCGAGGGGAGAGGCGGGAGGACTGAGCACGGCTGGCGTTGCTGGGAAGCTGGCCTGACGGGGGTGGGGAGTGGGACGCGGGGCGGGTGGGGTGTGGACAGGGGAGTGGGATGCAGGACGGGTGGGGTGCGGGACGGGTGGGGTGTAGGTTACCAGGGGGAGGGCCGTGTATCCTCCGAGAAGTCGATTAGCTTCTCCTGCTTGAAGAGCAGGAAGGCAAAGCGGTGGAAGCCAGAGCCCCGGGCAGGGAAGGGGGGCAGGTAGGGACACGCCTCCTGTCCCTCAGCCACCCTGCGGCCTGGGATGTTGGTGCTGGCGGGAGGAAAGGAGCCGTTAATCGCCACTGGACAGAAGCGGTGGCCACTGGACAGAAGCGGCGGCAGCGGGAGCGGCCCCACCCAGCACTTCCTGGAGGCTGAGACACCGCCCGCCCGCCCGCCCGCCGCCGGGGGACAGAGCGACAGGGACCTCCTGCAATCTAGCAGGAGACAGCTCTGCGCCCCCCTGGGGCTCGGAGGCGGAGGACTGGCTGCAGAGCGGGTGAGAGCAAAGGCGGGCAGCCTGTTTGCTATGCCCTGGGGGAGCCGGCGGTCAGGGGGGCGGCGGGCTGCCACAGCTGCTCTGGCTGGAGACCATGACACCTCTGAGCTGCTGCTTTCTGTCAGAGTGTCTGCCCAGCCTGGCACCGAATGGCCCCTGTACCCACCTAAGAGGCAGCCCAGAGGGTCCTGCTGCCTCGGCTGGTCACTGCAGTTGAATGAACATGACAGAAACCAGCCTCCCAGTCACTGGCCTCCATTACCCAGAAACCCCAAAGCTGCGGTCACCTGCCCGACTGCTGTCCCTGGTGCTCAGAGCCAAGGCCTCCGAGGAAGCGAAAGGCTGGCACCTGAGCGCGTCGCAGCCGCCAGAGGCCTCTCCCGGCCCGCTCACTGGCCTGTCACAGAGCCCCCGGGGGCGGTAAGGGACGTGGAGGCATCGCCCTCGGGTTACGGGTGTGGAGAGGCGTTCAGGGAGGCCAGAGGCCGGGGAGCAGCCAAGGCCCGCTGCCCGCTCTCCTACCTGCGTCCAGCCACTGGGTCCTAAGGCCTCGCCCGCCCGGGAAGCAGGGGGAGGGCACCGCCAGGGGAGGGAGGTTAGCCCACAGCCCATCGTTAGTCCGCGATGGAGCCGGGACTGAAACCCAGGGCAGCTCTCCCCGGGACGCCAGGGCCTCCCGCATGCCTGGGCCCCGGCCCGCCCCGTACTCACACCAGCCAGTGCACGTACTCCGCATCCGGCTCCAGCAGGTGTCCATCTGCGCACAAACAGACCCACCACTGAGGGCCCGGGAGAGGAGCCGGGGCTGCGGCTCTCCACCTGGCCCCGCCCCGCCCCCGCCCAGGGCCCGGGCTCCTGAATCCTAGACGCCTACCCAAGTTGGTGAGCAGCAGTGTCCACAGGGAGCCCTCATCTGCCTCATAAGTCACCTCTGGGGCCTGGGCAGCCTGTTGGGGAGAGGAGGGAGCTGTCACGCCCACAGGGACAGCCAAGTTGTCACAAACAGATGCTCTTGGAGAAGGGAGGACACGGCCCGGGGGGGGGGGATGTGTCTGCACACACAGGGCAGGAAGGGGCACGGCCAGCAGGTACCTCCGTGGGCGTGACCTCGTTGCCGTGGTACACGGGCATCACTTCGTCCTCACCCACGGCGTAGGCCACGTGCAGGGGGATGCGGGGCACGAAGGTGGCGCCGTGGAACAGGTCTCGGTAGAGGCCATAGTACTCGGCCAGACGCTGCTTGTGGTAGGGCCCACAGGTCCTCTCCCACTCCGCCCGCACGGCCTCCAGGGGGATGCGCGCTGCGAAGGAATGATGCCAGCTGGGCCCGGGCGGGGCAGACCCCGCAGGCCTCTCCCCCGGAGGGCGTACCTGTGCGGTGGCGGGCGGCCCGCTCCTCCTCCACGTTGGCCTTCAGCTCCCGCAGAACCTGCTTCCGCTCCAGCAGCTGCTGGGCCCGACAGACCTTGGGTGGAGGCAGCCCGATGTCAATCTTGTCTCTGGGGTCTGGGAGGAAAGGTGTGATGGAGGAAGTGGGGTCCATTCTTTGCCAAGCCACCTGTCTCCGCCCGGTCCTCTCACTTGCCCAAGATCTGCTGCTAAAGCTGCCCCTTTAATTCACAAAACTAAAACAGTGGTCGGCAAACTCGTTAGCCAACAGAGCCAAATGTCAACAGTACAAAGATTGAAATTTCTTTTGAGAGCCAATTTTTTAAATTAAATTATTACCTGTGTACATATCTTACCATTGCGCCCCCCCCCCCCCCCGCCCCCATACATACCCTCCTTCCCCAGAGTTTTGGGTCCATTGGTTGTACTTATATGCATGCAAACAAGTCCTTCGGTTGATCTATTATCTCCCCCTGAGAGCCAATTTAAAAAAAAACTTCTTCTAACGCCACTTCTTCAAAATAGACTCGCCCAGGCTGTGGTATTTTGTGCCAGAGCCACACTCAAGGGGCCAAAGAGCCGCATGTGGCTTGAGAGCCGCAGTTTGCCGACCACTGAACTAAAACACCGTGTAGCCTGTCTCTCAGACCTGAGCAGGGTCCAGTTGCTAAGCAAACTGATAAGCTTGAGATTGCACCTTCTAATCCCTAACCCTTCCACTGTCTTCTGTCACGGGAACGAGGCACATGGCCTAGCAATTACAGCGGGGATCCCCTTCCAGCCTGTCACTGCGGGCTCGGACACACCTGGGTCCTCAGCAGAACAGCTGAAGCTAGAACTTAAAGAAGCATTCTCACACTTTCCGTACCAGTCACCGGGGAAATGTCTTAAAATTTAGATTTTGATTCTGCAGGTCAGAGTGGGAACTGAAACCACATTTCTTTTTTTTTTTCTTTTTCTTTTAAATTCTCACCCGAGGACATGATTTTTATTGATTTTAGAGGAAAAGAGGAGGGGGGGGGGGAAAGAGGGGAACATCAATCAGTTGCACCCTACTGGGGATCGAACCCAAAACCTGGGCGTTGCCTGACTAGGAATCGAACCCGTGACCTTTTGAGCCACACTGAGCCACACTGGCCAGGGCATGGCAGTGCATTTCTAAGGAGCTCCTAGGTAAGGTCTGTGCAGCTGGTCCCAGAACACGCTTTTTATCATATCAAGGCCCTGGAGAACCTTTAACCCGACACCTTTCCTCATTCACATTAAACAGTAACAATCACACACAGTAACAATTAAACAGTAACACAACACACTGCACCCTCAACACGGGCCCAGACAAGGTTTCCAAAGGATGCATTTGTGAGTTGCTCAAGGGCAGCCTTCCCCAGGCACCCAGTCCAGGGCTATTTCATTCAGCCAAGTATTGCACACTGTGGGGGTGCAAGGAGCCAAAGATGGTTAAGACCGGCGGGACCCCTGTCCTTGGGGGACTCGATCTGGGAGAGCGGCAGCGGAAAGAGTGCAGCGTGGGCAGGGCTGCACACGGCGTATTTCAGGGGCACAGAGGGCGCTCCGACTCGCAACGGGGGTAGGGGAGGGGGGAGGGGTGGTCAAAGATGTTAGGAGTAGAAATAGCTAAGGGCAAGGTGACCAGATGTCCCGCTTTTTAACAACGTGTCCCGCGGCGTTTTTTTTTTTTTTTTTTAATCGGGACTTTTTTAAAACGCCGCGAGACACATTGTTCGAAAGCGGGACTGTCCCGCCAAAAGCGGGACGTCCGGTCGCCTTAGCTGAGGGGGGACTCTGATGGGAGAGGGGTTTTCAAGCCGGGCCCACAGGTGTGGAGAGCCTGGCGGGACCATAAATACCGCCGCCGCGGGGTGCAGGCGGCCCCCGGCTGGGCCCGCACCGCAGCCCCGCACCTGGCTCCGCCACGAAGTGCTCCCGGTAGGTCCGCCACCAGCGCGGGGCGCGCGCCTCCTGCTCCGCGCGGCGCCGGTAGCGGGCGAAGCTGCGGTACTTCTCCAGCCGCTCCAGGCTGCTCACGTCCACGTCCTCGTTGGGCATCGGCCCCAGCGGCGGGGCCCGGCGGCTCCGCGCGGCTGCGGGCAGAGAGCGGCGGCTCAGCCGGCGGCGGCCCGCGGAGGGCGGGCGCGCGCTGGCTCGAGCCCCGGGGTTCGGGCTGCAGGGGGACCTGCGGGAGCCCCACACCCTCAGACCCCTCACCCGAGGTGCTGAGGCACCGCCACCGCCGACCGGCGCCCAGCGCCGCCTGCCACAAGGGCGCCGCCATCTTCCCTCAGGTCGGCTCCGCCCCCGCCCCCGCCCCCAGAAGCCTACGAAGGCGGCTGCGACGGCGCCTGTGCGCCCGGAGGCCCCGCCCCGCCAGACCACGCCCCCACAGGCCCCTGAGCCCCGCCCCGGCCCCAGGAGCCCCGCCCCCGGCCAGGGCCCAGGTTCCTCTTTGCCGGGGAGAGCCGCAGGTCCTTTCCTTCCCGCTAGAGGCGCCAGAGGCGTGAGGGCCCGACGACAGGGGGAGCTGGGAGAGGCGGCCCAGACCCGGGGCGGCGGCCCAGACCCGGGGCCAGGCCTGCAGATCCCCGGATGCACGGAGTTCCCTGAGCCTCAGACCCTCTGGCCATGGTGTGTAGCTTGTAGGGGGGAGGTCCAGGCCCCGCCCGTTATAAATAAGCATTGAAAGCCTCTGGAGTGTAAATTGATCCAGCTACTTTACAGAGCAACTTGCCAGTAATTAGTATAGTTTTAACTAGTAGTCCAGTTAAGCACATATTCTATGGCCTAGAAATTCTACTTCTACCCCGTTTCCCTGAAAATACAACAGTGTCTTATATTAATTTTTTCTCCAAAAGTTGCGCTAGGTCTTATTTTCAGGGGATGTCTTATTCTTTCCATGCGCTAGGTCTTATTTTCTTTTTTTCTTTTAAATATATTTTATTGATTTTTACAGGGAGGAAGGGAGTTAGAAACATCGATGAGAGTCATTGATCAGCTGCCTCTTGCACCCCCCCTACTGGGGATATGCCCGCAACCAAGGTACATGCCCTTGACCGGAATCAAACCCGGGACCCTTCAGTCCCCAAGCCGACGCTCTAGCCACTGAGCCAAACCGGTTTCGGCTAGGTCTTATTTTCGGGGAAAAATGGTAGTATCTACCTTAGAGAAGTGCTTACATATATGCCAAGGAGGCATGCGGAGCACTGTTCATGGCAGTATTGTTTACAATAAAATCCCAATAAAACTGTAAACACCCTAAATGCCCATTAGCATAGCAAAAGAATGAGTAAATTGTGGTATATTCAAACAATGAAATAGTATTCAGCAGTTAAAATTAATGAACTGCAGCTGCATGAAAGGTTAAATGTAAAAAAAATAGTGGAAAAACAAAGCTTATTGCTATTATAAATACTAGAGGCCCGGGGCACAAAATTTGTGCACTTGTGGGGGGAAGGGATCTCTCAGCCCCCTCTCACAGTCTGGGAGCCCTCAGTATGTCTGACTGCTGGGTTAAGTCCGACTGCCCTCCCCTGCCAGCCCGATCACCCTTAACTGTCCTCCCCTGCTTGCCTGATCACCCCTAACCACCTCTGCCTCGGCCCCCACCACCGTGGCTTTGTCATCTGGAAGACATCTGGTATAATTAGCATATTACCCTTTTATTAGTATAGATAATAATAAAAGCATAGTATGCTTATTAGACCAGACAGCTGAATGAGCTTCCGAATAAAGCTGGGGTTGTGAGAATTTCCTGCTAGAATAGGATAATACCATATAGATATTTTTTAAACTTTAGGTATTTTTAAATTGATTTTAGAGAGAGGAAGGGAGAGACAAATATGAAAACACTAATTGAGCCGAAGCTGGTTTGGCTCAGTGGATAGAGCGTCGGCCTGCAGACTGAAAGGTCCCAGGTTCGATTCTGGTCAAAGGTATGTAATTTGGTTGCCAGCACATTCCCAGTAGGGGGCGTGCAAGAGGCAGCTGATCGATGTTTCTAGCTCTCTGTCCCTCTCTCTTCCTCTCTGTAAAAAATCAATAAGTTATATTTAAAAAACAAGAACACACTAATTGATTATTGCCTCTTGCATGCACCAGGTATCAAACCCACACGAGCCCTGACCAGAACTGAACCCTCTACCTTCCAGTGTATGGAACCCCTGCACTCCGAGCGAGCCACACTGACCAAAGCTAGAGAGATCTTTAAACACACAAATCAATGTTCTGTTTTGTTTGTGGATACGTACATAGAAGGAAACAGAAAGAGAAGGGCTATCTCTGAATCAAATATGGCAAGAAATGAAAGGCAGCTGGATTACAAAACATATAGCAATTTAATGGGTCCAAGATGAAGGCTGTAGATTGTTGGTAAATAAGCTCCCCCCGGAAAGCAGTCTGCGACACACACACGAACTGCCTGCTCAGGGCCACTCCGCTCGCCCCGCTGCCTCCGTGCTCACCAGGACACGTTCTTTCCAAGTAATTTATAAGTAATTGCGATTCCCACCTCTCTCCTGCCCCTGCACCCCCACCCCTGGGCAGCAGGACAGAGGCCCTCAAAACACGTGGTCCGACTCCACATCCGATTAGGGAAGGGCCCTGTGAGGTCTCTGCTGGCCTCAGGCGGGAGGGCAGGAGGCTGCTCCCTGGAGAAGACCCCGTCTCAGAAGAGGCCCAGGTGAAAAGACCCCTCAGCCGCCTGCCTGCTGACGAGGGGAGGGGTCCAGAGGACCAAAGCTGAAGCTGACAGCATCTGGGGGCAGAGACACTCAGCAAACCCGGGGCCGGGGGCACCTGCCTCCTCAGCTGCAGCTGGCGTGGTCGGATGCCCTTGTACCCTGGCTACTTGAAGAGCTGTTATCAGGCCCTGGGCATCTCAGAGCCTTCCCGGCACCCCCTCCCTGGAGCTGGAAGCAGGGGCACTAGGACAGAGTGCCAGGGCCTTCAGGCTGGGTGGGATGTCATATTGTAGGAGGCTTGCTTCAGGGTCTCCAGGAAGAACTCCTCATTTTCCAGGAAGTCTCGGTCCTGAAAGGCAGAGCTGGGTGAGCACCCCCTCTGGCCCCTCCCTGTTCACAGCCTCGGGGCCTGCGTGAGGTGATCCCGGAGTGCTCACTCAGGCCCTTCCCCACTCACTCCCTGGCTCTGGGCAGCTGTGAGCCGAAGGGGGGTCTGGGAGGAGCAGGCACACTGGAGTGAAAGACCAGGTCTGTTCTGGCAAGGCCACACGCTAGCACATGACGTCACTCTCTAAGCCTGTCTGTAAACTGGAGGAGAGCATTTCCTGCCTGGAGGCGGGGGGAGGAAGGCTTCAGTACAGAGCCTGGACACAGGAACTGTCACTGCTACCACCGTGAGGGACAGCCGGCCACATACAGGCAATGGCTTTGCACAGAACCTGGCCTGAGATGTCCCTCCGGGGTGGGCTCAGCCCTCCTCAGGGCCAGGACGCACTCCTCTCTGACTGCCCTGGGTGGTCCGTTACCAAGGTGCCCACGAGGACCCTGGTCCAGGGGGAGTGGCGGGCCTGGGTGGGGTCCGCCTTCGCTATGGGATGCTTACCTGCTCAGCTGAGTGTTTCATCAGCACCAGCTTGGCGTGGAGAAGCGAGGAGCCCAGGGTGGCTGGGGGCTGGGGGCCCTGAGGATTGGCGGGAGCGGGAGCCACGATGGCTGAAAAGGCTGCGGAGGGGTCAGGGGCCACATGTGGGCGGGAGAACAAGCGGCCACAGCCTGCCTCCCGGGCCTGCTGACCACTGCGGGCGGTGCACCCAGGCCCCACCTTCTCCACCCGGGACTTTACCCAGGAACCTATTCGAGGGAAATAGCCAGGCGGAAGCGCAGAGCTGTACGCACAGCCTGTCGCGGACGTGCTGTTTATCTCCGTGACAAAAAGCCACCCAGGAGAAAACCGTTAAAAGCATGGAACAGCCTCACGATGGACACTCACAACGATTAGAAGTTATGGTTAGATGTTTAATTTCTGATGTGAAAACATGTCTGGCATGTATATTTCCAAATAAAAAAACCCAGGTACAAAACAGTGTATGACGTGATGTCAATTTTGTTTTTAAAAACACACAGGCAGTCTGGAACACACACCACACACCAGAATGTTAAAAGTGCTTGTCTCTAGAGCGTGCGGATAAGAGTGACACTTTATTTTAAAAGTTTTCTTCTATTTCCCAATGCGTTTTTCTATAATGAACACGCATTACTGTGTAAAGACATATGAACGAGGTCACTTTAAAACCAGCTGGCCCCTAACCTGAGTGGAGGGAGGCGTGGCAGGACGCTCCTGGCACTGCCCCCCCAGGAGCCACTTACCACTCGTGCCGGACGCTACCAGGCCTGGGGCCTGGGCAAGTGGCCCCATGGGGCCGAAGGGCAGGTCCTGCCGAACGTGGTCCAGCTGCAGCCTCTGCTGGGCCAGACTCAGGTGCTCCTGTCCCCGTCCGCGGAGAGAAGGACATAGCTGTGAGGGTCTGAAGGTGGGGCGTCGGTGGAGCCAGACTGGGAAAGCAGGAGCTGGGGGGGTGGGGGGGGGGCTTGCCTGCTGCATGTGCTGCTCCTGCTGCTGCAGCCGCTCCACCTGCTGCCGCACCAGCTGCAGCCGGGCCTGATGCTCCGACTGTACCTGCCGGGCCTCCCGCAGTGCCTGCTCCCCCTCCTGGTACTTCTCCGAGGCCACCTGCGGGAGACACGGGGTCAGCCAGGTGGCCCGCGGACAGGGCACTGCGAGCCCAGCCACCGCCCAGCGGAGCCGCCGGGACCTGGCTCATCTTCTCCACCTCCTCGGAGCGGAGCCGGATGCGCAGGGCAGCAGCGCGGACCCTCTCCTTCTCCTGCCGCAGCTCCTCCCGCTCCCGCTCCAGAGCCTCCCTCTCGGCCGCCAGCTGGTCCTCCTTGGCCCGGAGCTCACTTGCCCGGATCTTCAGCTCCGCCTGCTCCTGCAGGTGGCAAAGCCTTCACTGCCGTGTCCTCCGGGAGCGGAACTGGGCTCTGCTCAGGGTTGGAGGAGCCCCTGGCCCGCCCGCCTCATTGCTGTGGCTCCATCTGATCCTGATTCTGGGAGAAGGGTGGGGTACGGGGGTCCCAGAACCAGTCAGGGAGGCCAGGGCCATGCCTCGGTGCTGCCCTCACCGCGGGCCCAGCTTCTCTGAACCGTTTTTATATCTAGGCCATGGGGATGTGATGAGGACTGACTGAGCATGTGCGTGAAGCAGGAGCACAGCAGAATGAGTTGTCACTGTTAGGGTTGCTGTTGCTGTGCCCTGTGCTGAGCGGACGGGCCTGAGGCAGGAGCAGCGTGAGGGCGGAGGGAAAGGGCGGGCTGGCGGCCCGGCTCTACCTTGGCCAGGCTGATGAGGGTGCCCTCCCGCTGGGCGTCCGCCTGCAGCGCCCGCTCCGCCTCTCGCTCCGCCCGCTCTTTACTCAGCTTCTGCTGCGCGAAGAACTCGGCCCACTCGGCCGCCAGGCGCCGCCGCTCCTCCCCGCACTTGTGCATGACGGCCTTCTGCTCCTCCAGCAAGGCGCTCTGGGACGGGGGCCAAGGTCAGGGGTGAGTGTCCTCGGCATCATGGCGGGCATGGCAGCTGGAAGCGGTGTGGCTGGCTCACCTTGGCCCTCTCCAGCTCCTCCCGCTCCATGGCCAGCTGCTGGGCCGTGACCTTCCTCTGCTCCTCCAGGGCGCGCTGCGCGGACTCGGCCTTGGACTGCTCAGCGCTCACCCGCCAGCGCTCCTGAGGCCGGGCCCAGAGTGAGCCCGCGGCTCCACGGCCCCGCCAGGCCTCCCGCTGCGCAAAGCCACCTGCGCTTCCCACGCGTCACAGACATTTCCTTTCCAGAGGCGCGAGGCGAGGGCACGAGAGGGACTCGGCCGACCTCACCCGCCAAGGCCAGGGCGTGAGGAGGACCAGGCAGACCCTGGGTTCGCGCCAGGGCTCAGGCTCAGGGCCTCTGCTGGGAGCTCCGGAGGCAGCAGCACCCCTGGTCTCTGAAGCGCCATGGACAGCACACGCCTCGGCTCCCATCAGCCAAGCAGGCGAGGAGCAGGTGGGCATGACGCTGCGCGTGCCAGGGGACGCAGGGCACACACAGCGTGAGGTGAGAAGCGGGTGGCCTGGCCCGAGGTGCCCAGTGAGGCCTGAGTACACGGCGCAGGACACAGACCCTCTCTGTCTACACTGCTAGTCCTCAGCACCGGGGACAGTGCCAGGGCGCTCTGGCTAGTGGGTAATTTTCACTTTTTTCTTTATTGTTTCATGTAGTTTAATCTCTTTCAGTGAAATAACATGGTAAAAAAGACAGGTATTTTTAAAAGACAACAGCTCCCTCTTATCTGTAAGCTATGTAGGGAGTTCAACATCTCTCCCAAGGTCACAGGCCCAGGAGCCATGACAGGTTCAAGTGGCTGGAAAGACAGTGGGACGTCATGGGTTGGGCAGGGGGGCTGGCGGCCGTGGCGAGGACACCTGGGGTGGTGGGGATGGGGGGCCAGGCAGGAAGGGCAGGAGACATTGCAGAGAAGTCCCGAGGCCTGGGCGGGGAGCTCCCTGGTGCCCTGGGAGCCGGGCCCCGCGGTTAGGGCGGCTCACCTGCTCCAGCAGCCGGCTCTGCTCACTCAGGCGGGCCTCCATCTTCCCGATGACCTCCTGGAGCCGGCTCCGCTCCTCCTCCATGTCCCGCTGCTGCAGGCCCAGCCGCTCCTGCAGTGCTGGGGCAGCCACAGGACTCTGAGTGTCCGCCCCCGGCCCCCGAGCCGAGGGCGGGAGGCAGGCCATGCGGTACCTCGGAGCTGCTTGTCCTGCTGCCGGAGGCCCAGCTCCCGCTCCTGTGCGGTGGTGAGGTGTGAGGCCTCCACGCGGGAGGACAGTGCGTTCAGGCTGCTAGAGAACTTCTCCATCTGCTCGATGACGCCATTCAGGGACCTGCGGACGATCCGGTCACGCTGGCCTGGGGCCCCCGGCACCGCCCCGCTGGCAGGGCCCGGCCCTCACACGTACCGCGTGTGGGAGGTGGCACTGGTGACGGCATCGATCTCCCGGTCCTTCAGCTGCTTCAGCCGCTGCAGCTGCTCCTCGTGGTCCTTGCGCATCTCCAGGATGGAGGCCCTGCAGCCGGGAGGGCAGGCTGTGCAGCCTCCGGGAGGAGTGTGCCTCCGGCCAGTGCTCCGGCCTCCCCTCTCCCTGGCCTCCTCCGTTCCCCGCTGTCAGCCTTCAGTGCCTGGGTGCCCAATGCCACATCCGCTCTCTGCGGATGTTCCGCCGTCATTCCCGCGGAGGAGAAGACAGGCGTGCCTGGACCCTGGCCCATCAGCCAGCTCCCGATGGGCCTTTTCTTCGTTTGGCTCTCACCCCGAAAGGCAACCAGGCACACGGTGCAAACCACACCAGGTCCGTCTAGAAACGAGACCTGAGAGGCCCAGCCAGCGAGTGGGTTGACCTGGGCTGAGCTGACCGGCCTGCTTGCTGCTGCCAGGCCCAGCCCAACCAGCCCTGTGGGTACCCACTCCCACCTCTGTAGGGGCGATGCCCCTCTGGATGGTGGGATGGGTCAGTGTGCTGGCCTGGGTCCTCACCTCGGTTCAAAGGCACGGCGTGGGGTTGCCCTGGCCACCCGAGAAGCCGCTCCCCCGCCCGCCTGGGTTCCCTCACCGCTGTAGCTGCCGCAGCCGCTCCACCTCCTGGTCCTTCTCCTGCTCGGCGGCCGCCAAGCGCCGCTGGTGCTGGGCGGTGAGCTCGGCCCGGGCCTGCTCGGCCTCCTGGCAGTGCGACAGGTACTGGGCGGACAGCTCCTCGTTCTCTCTCCGCAGCCGCTCTTCCCGCTGCTGGTAGGAAGTTTCTAGCACCTTGATGCGGCTTCTGCCAACGGAACACCCAGCTGTGGGGCTCGAAGGTGAGGGTGGCCATGGGAAGGGTCCCCTCACCCCCACCCCCCCGAGCACACGGCTGGGGCAGGCAGGAGCCTGGGGAGCCCCGAAGGCTGGGGCAGGGGTACCTGTGAGCATTCTCGATGAGCTCCAGGTCGGCCTGGTGTCGCAGCTGCAAAGTCTCCAGCAGCAGCTTGTGCTGGGCCCGCTCCAGCTCCAGCTTCCGCACCTGAGGCAGCGAGAGGGCGGCGTGGGGTGGGCGGCAGGCCCCGCAGGTTCCTGGGGAAGCTTCCGGCCCGCACAGCGACGCCTGCCCCCCACAGCCCTGCCTCCACCCTCACCGGCCCAGACCCTCACCTGGGCCTCCAGGTCTGCCAGCTGGGCCTGGCTCTGCAGCAGCTCGGCCTGGAGCTGGGCGGTGCCACTCTGAAGCTGCAGCTGGGCAGCCAGGAGCTGCTGCTGGTACCCTGTGCCCGGCGGCAGGCTCTGCGCCAGGGGCGGCGGCAGCAGGGACTGCGAAGGAGACACGCTCCAGGGTCGGCAGGGGCAGGGACCAGCAGAGCTCAGCTACCTCGGGCCCTCTGCTCACTGGGCCCCCCAGCCCTGCACCTGACCGGGGGCTGCAGAGGGGGCAAGGACATGACACCGAGAAGCCGAGGAGGGGCCCCGGAGCGTCACGTGGTCACTCAGGTCTGGTTAGGAGAAAGTCCCTCCTTCCTCAGGAGCATCCTCCAGACGGGCAGACTCCTAGACCAACGCTTCGGCCCAGCAGCCTAGTGACCACCAAAGCCTACGATGCGCCTTCCTGCTTCCTGCCCGCCCACCCCAGTGCCAAAGGCCTGCTCCTGTGGCTGGGCTCCTCAGGGTCAGAGGTGACGCCGCACCCGGGAAGCAGTGGCGGCATGGAGGGCGGGGCAGGAGAGAGGAGGCTTTCTAGATGGGGACGGGAGCACCCTGGCCACGCCGCCTGGTACCACCTCCACTTCCCCATTCGGGCTGGCAAGTTGGCACCGGCTCTGCCCGACCAGGCTCAGTGCAGGGAACGGGGTGGGAGGGTCGGGTGCGCTGACATCTTGCAGGCCACCAGGTGGACCCGCTGCCGCCGCCTCTGCGCGGGACCTACATCCTGGGGCTGAGACCAGTCCTCTCTGCCCGCCTCCCTACCTGGACGGGCCCCGCCGGCCCTGGGGGGTCCTGGGAGCTCGGGAAACGCACTGCAGGCTCTGAAAACAAACAGCAGAGAACTGAGCAGGACCGAGGCCCACGGAGGCCCACGGTCTGTCTCTGTCCCTCTAGCATGTGTGTATGTGTGTGCATGTGCATGTGCATGTGTGTACAGTGTGTGCGACCCCGGAAGGAAGCTCAACGTGCCTCTTTCTGCCCAGATTTCACCCCCAAAGCAGAAAACAAACCAGTGCCGGAGAGGTCTCCAGGGACTGTGTCCTTCTTTGAGTCGCCTGCATCGAGGGCCAAGGTGGCTGGGTTCCAAGTCCCGGGGGCCCTGCGGACACGGAGGGGTGGCGGGAAAGGAAAACCGGTCACGTCCTCAGTGGGAGGGCCTGGCTGCACCCACAGAGGCCTCCGTGAGCAGAGATGGCGGCTGCAGGAGGCGCCTTCATCTGGGGCTCAGTCAAGAGGAGGCCAGGTTGGGCCCAGCCCTCTCCTCACCCTCAGCCCTGGCTGCACGCACCCCGAGGCGGCAGGCTGGGCGGGCGGCTTTCGTGCTGCTGGCCCTGCCGTCCCTCCAGCAGCCACTGGCTCGGGCCCTGGAGCGCTGGCGACAGGCTGGCGGAAGACTTCTCCTGCCAAGTCCGAGCCCCTGTGCCGAGAGGAGGGAAGACGAGCAGGAGGTGGCGCTCTGCACCCGGCCCAGCCCCCGCCCCTGGAGACAGCAGCCGGAGCCGCACCTGCTGGGAGGGCGTCGGCCCGCTGCCCGCTCCGGGACCTGGCCCTTAGAGGCCGCAGCACCCTCTTCTCTGGCCAGGCCGCGGGCCTTCTTCCGGGACAAGGCGTGGCTCAGCCAGTCCTCCTCCTCCTCCTCCTCCTCCGCAGACGCTCCCGGCTGGGAGGGCTGGCCGGCTGTGGCCGGGGGACCTGCACCCTTGGGCGGTGGCGGTGCCCCGGAGGAGGGGGGCGGCCCAGCGGGGGCAGAGCGCGGGCCGGAGGCAGAAGGGGGGGGCCCGGAGGGTGCGGGGAGTGCAGGGCCTCTCCTGCGGGGCTCTGCGGTGGGAGAGGGCGGGAGCAGGTCCTCGTCTTCGTCCTTGAGGCCCAGCCAGTCAGCGCCGCCCTTCCTGGGGGGGCTGGGGCTGGCTGCTGCGGGGGCGGCCTGCTTGGAGCCTGGCTCTCCCTTGCGGTCTACGCCATCTTCTGCAAAGAACCTGCTTCAAGACAGAGAGGAGGGGTCGAGGGCAGGGCAAGCAGCCTGCCCCAAGAGCCCCCATCGGCCGTGCCCTCTGCTGTGGGCGGGTGACCGCCAGGGGCTCGGCACAGCCTGAGGCCTGTGAGCAGTGCTCGCACCGGATCAGGGGGCAGCGGGTGGCACAGACACCTTAAAGCCATCGCAGGAACCGGGACAATGCCATGTGCAGACCAGGCCCAATGCCAGCCCAGGCACACCGTCCAGAGGGAAGCAGCCGGTCAAGTGGTTTCCGGGCAGTCACTTGGTGCCCGGCGCCTGGACTCGCCGCTGCCTGTGCCGCCCGGCAGCAGGGAGGGAGGGTGCTTCGGGCACGGAGGGCTATCCGGGGAGAGAGGAGGCACCACCCCGACACAGCGGAATGACAGCAACTTGAAGGCCGGCAAGGGCAGGAGGGAGTTCTCTGTGTGGCTCTGACAGCCTTCCTGTCAGCTTGAGGTTATTTTAAACACGAAGTTTAAAGTACAGACTGGGAGAAAAGCCCAATCCCGACAATGCTCTTCCTCCTGCGGAGGCTGGGAGGGAACTGGGCCCTGGCTCCTGTGCACGAGGGACGGGCGGCCTCCCTCTGCCTCACACCCGAGCCAGCCCCTGCGGGGCAGCCATGGGGGCGAGCCGCTACCTGCCCGGCTGCCGGCGGGACTGCCAGCCCTCGGAGGAGCCCACGGTGGGCTGATAGGCCCCGAAGGTGAAGTCCTCATCGGCCCAGGCGTCTTCTCTGTCTGTGAACGGAGGAGCCTGTGACCTAGGGCAGGGGAGCGGCCTGTCCTGGCAGCGTGGCGAGGAAGGCTGTGCAGGCGAGGCTGCTCTGCAAGAGGCGGGCGAGGGGCTGGGTGTCACCCGTCCAACACTGGGAGCCCCGGGGAGCCGGCGGGAGCCCCCGGGAGCCACGGGGAGCCGGTGGGAGCCGCAGGGAGCCGGCGGGAGCCCCTGGGGAGCTGCAGGGAGCCACGGGGAACCAGCGGGAGCCCCTGGGGAGCTGGTGGGAGCCGCAGAGAGCCGGTGGGAGCCCCTGGGGAGCCTGAGGGGAGCTGCCCATGGCTTTTGGTGAGACCATGAGCTGCGTGTGGAACGAGAATGCGCCAAACCCTGGCGACGCTGTGAGCGGCGCTGCGAGGTTTGCACACTGAGCTGCTGCCTATTCGCAGGCAGAGGATGCAATGAGGTGTGACCCTGTGTTTATCAATGAAATGCCGAAAAAGGAAAAGCAGCAAGAGGGAATGAGGTAATTATTATCTCAGGACACAGTCTCCTTTGTAAACGGGCACAGTGTGTGGGTCCGGTGCACAGCTTAGTTCTTATTAGGGGTGTGGCAAAACCTCTCTAGGGCCCCCCCTCCCTGTCCCGCAAGCTTCCTCACCCTGTGGCCTCTGGCTCCTCCTGTCCAGCTTGAACTCCAGGGGCTCCCCGGTGCCCGGACGAGCCCGCTGTGTGGGGGCAGCGCCTCGGCCCAGCAGCTCCTCCAGCTTGGAGCGCGCAGGGCGGGGCCCTTCCCTGCAGGACGGACCCAGGCTGGTACATGAACATGGGGGGCTCCTCGGGGCACGCCGTACCCACCCTCCAGCCTCGGCCAGGGACGCTGCCCTCTGAAGGTCCTTACTGGTCTCCTGGCTGCCTCCTCTCCCCTCTGGGGCTGTCTCCGAACCCCAGGGCAGCCATGAGGTCATCATCATCGTCAAAGAGCGATTCTCCTCTCTTCCGGACAGGGGTGTCCCCAGGAGTGAGAGGAATGGAGGGACCTGAGAGACAGCACAGGGCAGTGCCCGGCATCCGCCCTCAGTGGGACAGCAGGCATGGGGGGTCTGGTCTGCCACAGACCTGATCCCCAATTCACCCCACCCCCAGGCTCCCCCCTCCGCCTCCCCGCTTCTTAGGATGAAAGATCTCTAGGTCCTGGACGTCAGGCCTGCGGTCCCCGCCTGGCAGGCCTCTGCTCTGCACCGGAGCATCCGCCCCTGCTCCTCCCAGGACAAGAACCGCCCCCCTCCCCGCCCCCACCTTGGTCTCTGGCTGCTGCCGGGCTCTTTCCGGAAGCCGCTTTGCTCTCCGTCCCGGGCAGCTGCTTGGCGGTCCCGTCGTCCTCGTCGGAGAGCAGGCCTGCCAGTGGGTCTTCCAGGTCTGGGGGGAGCACAGCTCAGACCGACGCTGCGCTGGGGCCACCGCGGCCTCCCTCCTCCCCCGGCCCCTCGGCATCGGACACAGAGCGGGCTCCTAGCAGGTGGGACGCGGACAGGGCCCTGGGCCTGAGGGCCAGCGTGACTGTGCCAGGCTGGCCGTGACCCCAGACCCTGAGCCGGCATCGGAAGAGAAGTCCGACGCCTGTGTAGCCGCAAAGGGAAGGGCTCCCCTGCACTTTACAAAGGCTCCCACGCGAGGCCTGGCTCCGAATTCTTTGCAAACAAGTTCCCCCAATGCCCGGCGAAGCACCTCAGTCCGCCCTGGACTCGTGAGACCAAACGGTCTGACATGCACAGCACCTGGGGTGCGGGCAAGTCTGTGTCGCCATGGCTACTCCCCCCCCCCCCCCCCCCCAGCTGGAGTGCCCAGAGCGAGGCTGGAAGCTGTGGTACCTTCGAGAGAAAACTTCTTGTACTGATGCCCGAAGCTGCTGGGGGAGGGGGAGGGCTTCTTGGTGGGTATGGCGTCGCCTGTGGAGAGACGGCAGGTCACAGCCGGGGCTGGCGGGGGGCGTGCATGCTCCCAGGTGAGCTCAGGGCTGGCCGTGGCTCAGCCATGGGCTGTGTCTGCTCTCCCTGTCCGCACTTCTGGCCGGAAACATGGCGTCCAGGGACACGGCCTGGGAGCTGCACAGGCTGCCACAGAACTCCGCGCCACTCAGGTGGCTCCTCCAGGAGCTGCCACTGGGCGCAGAGGGACGGGGACAGCCCTAGGAGGAGGCTGGCTTGTCCCCTCCCACCGTGAGCACACACTCTCACACACACACACACACATACATACTCACACTCACACATACACACACACACTCTCACACACATGCACACACACGCACACACACATACTCTCTCTCACACGCACACACATACATACACTCTCACACACTCACACACGCACACACACACTCACACATACATACTCACACTCACACACACACACACTCTCACACACATGCACACACACGCGCACACACATACATACTCTCTCACGCACACACACACACTCACACACACACACCTCACACACACACACACACTCTCACACTCACACACACACACTCTCACACACACTCACACACAGACTCACACACACACACATACTCTCACACACACACTCTCATACACACACACACTCACACTCACACACACACACACACACTCTCACACTCACACACACACACTCACACACACACACACTCACACACACACTCACACACACTCTCACACACACTCACACACACACACACACACACTCACACACACACTCACACACACACACACTCTCACACACACACTCACACACACACACATACTCTCACACACACACTCTCATACACACACATACATACATACTCTCTCACGCACACGCACACGCTCACACACACACATTCTCACACTCACACACACACACTCTCACACACATTCACACACAGACTCACACACTCTCACACACACACACATACTCTCACACACACACACTCTCATACATACACACACACATACTCTCTCACACACACACTCTCATACACACACACACTCACACACTCACACTCACACACACACACACTCTCACACACACTCACACACAGACTCACACACTCTCACACACACACACATACTCTCACACACACACACTCTCATACATACACACACACACATACTCTCTCACACACACACTCTCATACACACACACACACACTCTCACACTCACACACACACACACTCTCACACACACTCACACACACTCACACACTCACACTCTCATACACACACACACTCACACTCACACACACACTCTCACACTCACACACTCACACACACGCACTCACACACACACACTCACACACACACACACGCACTCACACACACACACTCACACACACACACACACACACACACACACACAGTCAGCTCTGGCCTCGCCCTCCGCCATCTGAGGCAGAGAACCCCACTGGTGGGAGAGCTCCCGTCCCAGCATCTCCCGCGCCCAAGCCTCCCGCGGAGGCGCTGTGACCTCACCTTCCTCCCGGGCTGCTGCCGGAGCGGCGGGCTGGGGGCTGCTGGGCTCCTGTTTCCCAGACCCCTTGGCGGCGCCTCTGCCAGGGGCCAGAGAAGACTTCTTCAGGCCCAAGAGGTCAGCGTCCATCTCGTCCAGATCCTGGAGAAGCGGGGGAGGGAGGGACCCACGCGCTCAGCTGCCAATGCCTCCGGGCGCAGCACTGAGAACTGGAGCCTTAAACGCCAGGGTCAAGGCCAGCCTGGGAGCTGACCTATCAGAGGACAGCTGGACGGAAGGGGACTCGGCGGGGTGGAAGCTGAGAACCAGCTCCAGAGGAGATGGTCTCCCGTCTGCCCACCAGGTGGTGGGGGAGGGATGCAGCCAGGGAAGGCTTGGGGTGGGGTGGGGGTGGGGGGCTGGCCTTGTCAGAGGCCTGGGCCTGCTGTGTCTGCGAGGAGAATCTCTGAACCAGGAAACCGGACTCATCCCCAGAGGGCAGAGGGCAGCCGCTCCATTCTTGCCCGGGGAAGGGCTCAACCGCCATGTGAGAGGGACTGACGGTGTGGCAGGAAGTATCGGCGGCCCAGCCCAGCCCAGCCCAGCCCAGCCCAGCCCAGCCCAGCTACCAGAATGGCTACTAGAATGGCTACCAGAATGGCTACCAGAATGGCTACCAGAACGCAGACGGCACAGCTCGCTTCCTACCTTCATGGCCTGGAGCAGAGCCAGCGGGTCTGCCTCTGAGATGTCGGAGACCTGAGGCCAGGGGGGAAGGACGGGTGTTAGTCCAGGGCCTGGAGCCGGGCCCTCGTCCCCGCGCCCCGCTTCTGTGGGCAGCAGAGCTCGCCCTGGGCTCACTCGGAGCCCGCCGCGGCCGTGGGTGCTGTCTGATGGGACCGGCCCGGGTGGGGCCCAGAGAGCGCGGCCTCCCCCCGGGAAGCCGGCTCCCGGCCTCAGAGCTGCGCTCCCTGCGGGGGGCTCCTGTGGACACCCCGCTCCGCCTCCCAGGCCGCCCCGTCACTCAGTTCTGGGGCTCCATGGAGGGGACGGGAGGGCCGGCCAGCTCACCTCGGCCTCAGCTCCCGCGGGGTCGGCCATGGTGCCGAAGGCATTGTGCTCCGGGAGGGACCTGCAAGGGGCGGAGTGAGCACCGCTCCGGGCGCCGGTGACTGCGGAGGGGCCGGCCTGGAGGCCAGCGCCCAAGCCTCTTCCCCAGGACGAGCTGCCGAGAGGAGCCTCCCAGGCTCCAGTGCCCTGACTTTTACTTTAAAAAAAAGTAGAGCCTCGCCGAGACCAGTTTGGCTCAATGGATAGAGCGTTGGCTTGGGGACTGAAAGGTCCCAGGTTCGATTCTGGTCAAGGGCATGTGCCTTGGTTGTGGGCACATCCCCAGTAGGGGATGTGCAAGAGGCAGCTGATCGACTCTCTCTCATCGATGTTTCTAACTATCTCTCTCCCTTCCTCTCTGTACAAAATCAATAAAATAAAAAATAAAAAATAAAAAAAAGTAGAGCCTCTTCAAAACCAAGTCTTAAAACCCAACAGGCAGGAGAGAAACATCTGCGTTAGCTACAATGGGGCGGGGGTGGGGGTGGGGGACACGGACGGACAAGGCTCCCTCCTACCGCTCAACTGTCAGAATCCCAACAAACCACGAAAAGCGCCATCTAGGCATGCGCCCGGCAAACTCATCGGCCCACAGAGCCAAACATCAACAGCACGACCACTGACATTCTTTGGAGAGCCACGTTTTTTAAACTTAAACTTCTTCTAAGGCCACTTCTTCAAAATAGGCTCGCCCAGGCCGTGGTGTTTTGTGGAAGAGCCGCACTCAAGGGGCCAAAGAGCCGCCTGTGGCTAACGAGCCTCGGTTTGCCCACCGCTGATCTGGGGCAGTCCTCTGGGCTCAGAGGGGCTCAGGAACCGCCCGGGCACACAGAAGGCAGCAGGTGTGGCGAGACTGCGGCCAGGGCTCTGCCCTCCAGTTCCACTCTCTTCCCGCTCCCCGCCAGCTGCTCCCTGACCAGGAGCTGAGGGAGGAGAGGAGACGCTGGCACTGAAAGCGGGCACCATCAGTGGCAAGCAGGGGCGGGCGGGCGGGTGGAGGCCACCAGGCCCTGCTTACTTTGTCCTCGCCCTCTCGGAAGGGAGTGTCTTCTCTCTGGCCCGCGGCGCCAGTCTGACAGGCTTCTCCGGCAGCGTCACTGGAAGGAAAGGAAGCAGAGGAGATTCGCTGGGCTGCCGAGAATCGGAGTGAAGAGGAAAGGGGTGCGGGTCCCCCAGCAAGCTGGCTCCCAGACCTCCCGATGGAGGAAGGAGATGGGTCCCACAGGCAGCTCCCATGTTATCCCTTCCCGTGTTATTCCCATGTTCCTCAGCAGCTCTGTCCCACAAAGCCAACTGGTGGCACATGAAAAGCCCCGCCCCCACCCCCATGGAAAAGCAGGAAGAACAATGCACTTCCAGGCCCACGGCTGTCGGCTGGACCCAGGGGCTGCGCTTGGTGGGTGGCCAGGCGGGGACCTCAGCCTCGCTGCCCGGGTGCTCTGCGTGGCGCTGAGGCCCTGCTCCTCGGAACCGCGAACACGGACACACGGGGTAAGAGACGCATGCCCAGAACAAGAGCCGCCGACAATGTGCCAAGAAATGACCTTCTCCAAAGAGGAAAGCAAATGGGCAATAAACACACAAAGAGATGCTCAAAACCATCAGCCATAGGAAATGCACATCAGAACCACGATGAGATGCAACTTTACACCCACGAGGAGGGCTGAGTCCAGCAGACGGACAAGGGTGTGGAGAGCGGAGCCCGCCCACACCGCTGGGGAACCGGAAATGGGGCAGCTGCTGTCAGAGTAGGCTGGCGGGGCCTCAGGTGCCTCCAAAAACTAACCGCAGGGTCAGCGTCTAGCCCAGTAATTCTACTCCCAGGCTTATACCCCAGAGCACTGAGCACACACATCCACACAAAAACTTGTATGTGCATGTTCATGCATTATTCCTAACAGCCTAGGAACGTGTGGAAAACACCCAAAGATCCATCAACTAATGGCTGAATGAACAAAATGCGGCGTATCCGCACAGCAGAATATCACCCAGCCATGGAGAGGAACAGAGAGAGGGACCTCGAAGACATCCTGGTACATGGAAGAAGCCAGAGGCAAAAGCCACACACCACCGGATGCATTTTATATAAAATGCCCGAAAGAGGTAAGTCCGTAGAGAGAGAAAGGCCAGCGGTTGCTTAGGACTGGGGGAAGAGAACGAGGCTGACTGCCGATGGGCTGGGCTTTCTCTGTGGGGTGATGAAAACGTTCTGGAATTGGACTGCGGTGATGGTTGGACAACCCTGTGAATATACTTACACATACCCTTTAAAAGAGAAAACTTTATGTGAAATGCATCTCCATTAAAGCAGCAGCAGCCTAGACCAGGGGATTCTGGGAAGGGGCACTTACTCTCATCCCCCAGGAGGTCCTGAAGGACGTCATCGATGGAGCCTGGAACAGAGGGGGCGGCCGACGTGAGGCGGAAGGAGCGGTCCCGGAGCCCGCACCCGGGGCCTCGGGGCCTCAGACGCTGGCCTCAGGCCTCGTTCTCTCGCACTGGCCACGAGACATCCTCTAACTCCCCGGCAACAAGTCCCATCGCCTTATGGAGACCCCAGGGCGGACTGAGAACAACTTTTCCGAAGGACGATGGGAAGGTTTCCAGCAGAACCTACGTGTACGTGACACGCTGGCCACCGAGCCAGCCTTCCAGGCTCTGAGCAAAGCCAGCGTGTCCTTGGGAAAAGCGTCCGAGTTCATGGGCACAAACGAGCTTCTTTCATCTCCACAGCCCACTGAGCCCTTCCCCCGAGACCCTTCCCCCAGCTCCGGTCTGGGGGCACGCGGGAACCCCATCCAGCTCAAGGGCCTTCCCCACCTTAACCCCAACCTAGTACCTCTGGGTACAGACCCCAGTGAGGGGATTTTCCCCCAAGTCCCAGCTCTCCTGTACTTCTGAATTACGCCAAGGGCCACTGAGGCAGCATCAGGAGTCCCCTGAGGACAGAGCTGCCCCTGGGGTTATGGGGAACCAACGGGGACCTTCAGACACAGACACCTGTAAGTTACATCGGGACCAAGGTGAGGGGATTCCTTCTGGTTCACGGGCGATGTTCCGTCTCTCCACTCACCCTTCAATCCTTTCTTGGCCTTTGGTGCCTACGATGGGAGAACGAAACCAAACAAAGAATGTTGTGGAAGCTGAGAACACAGGACGAAACGCTTTGCCTTTGGCTAAGTCCCCGGGGGAAAGGAACACACGAGCCCGCCCTGCTTGCCCAGTTTCCGAGAACACACTCATTCCGAGCATGGGCACGGCCCCATTAACGTCGGGGGTGCCACGGGGGCGCCCCCTCCCCCTCCGGCACAAGTCTCTCCTTCTCCCTGAATCTCAGATGCCACTGGCAAACCCTCCCAGCCAGAATGCTTCCCTCTGTCCCACAGCCCAGCTCCACCCCAGCCACAGGCTTTACAATGCTTCCCTCGGGGCATGCTGAGGCCCCGAGACAGGCCTGCTCCGAGCATAACAAGAAGCTCATTTCGAGCTGAAACCAGTGTTGCTCAGTGGATAGAGCATCAGCCTGCAGACTGAAGGGTCCCAGGTTCGATTCCGGTCAAGGGCATGTACCTTGACTGCGGGCACATCCCCAGCGGGGGGTGTGCAGGAGGCAGCTGGTCGATGTCTCTCTCTCATCGATGTTTCTAACTCTCTATCCCTCTCCCTTCCAGGGGTCCTCAAACTTTTTAAAGTGGGGGCCAGATCACGGTCCCTCAGAGAGCTGGAGGGCGGGACTATATGAACTACTAATTCCTACTGTAACACCTCGGCTGCGCTCACTGCCCAAAAAACCTGGCGGGCCGGATCAGACTCCTCTGCGGGCCGCATGTGGCCCGAGGGCCATAGTTTGAAGACGCCTCATAAAAAAGTCAATAAAATATATTTTTTTTAAAATTAAATTTGAGACCAATGCGACTCCCGTCACTCTCCTCCAGGGACCACATCCGGGTCCCCGCCACCAGCCCCACAGCACTCCGTGCAGGCAGCACCTTGGGGTGGGCCAGGTCCACATGCCACGCGCCTCACCCTGCACGCTGCCTACCATCTCACGGCTTCGGGGGCTGCGTGCGGCTCCTCACAGCGCGATCCAACTCATCTGAACTCTGCCGCGTCAGGCTCCTGCTCCCTGGTGCAGGCGATCACAGGGGCTGCTCAGAAGCGTGCCAGAGCCACGCCTGTACCCCAGGCCTGTCACGGCTCCCGCACTTTGCCCATTGGAGGCCGAAACCTACTCCCTTCAACAAAACGTTCCTCACGGGGAGGCATCCAGGTGAGAAGCCAAGTGCTCTCGTCACCTGATGAGCTGGTGTGGACTCGAACCAAGTGCAGTTTTCCGCCTCCCTTACCGGAAGGAGGAGGTGAGACGGCAGGTGCCATCTCAGAAAGGAAGTGGGGCCCGGCCTTGTGGCCAGCACCCCTGCCCGGGCCGCACCAGGCTGCCTGGGACGCATTCAGCACAAACAGCGGCCTGGGTGCTGGCTGCCCCCTGACAGGACACAGTGTCTGTCACACGTGGGAATCTCTCCCTTCACACCAGCTGCAAGCCCCGCTCGCCCCTCTTGGGGGCTGTTTCCTCGAGAAGGGTCCCTCTTCCTGCCCGCGCCCGGGACCGACCTGCGGGCCGCCCGGGAAGGGGCCGGAGGGGGCCATCGCTGTGTCTCCGCTGCCGGCCTGTCCTGTGATTCGGATGCAAAGTTTATCTGGGGTCACACACAGGGGCCCCTCGGAGTGCTCGTGTCTCTTTCCTCCGCGAAGGCCATGTTCACGACCTAAACGTGCAAACGCGCTTCCTCTCGCAGCGCATCCAGGCCCGTCCGGCCACTCCCGGGGGGCGGGACCGCCCCCCAGGCCGCGCGGATCCCTAAGAGGGAGGCCACGAGCGCCATCTGGTCGGCGGCGGTTTGAAAACCCCGGGCCTGCCCCTGAGCACCGGCCCTCCGGGGGCCATGCCCTCGGCCCCTCCGCGCCCCCAGCCCCTCTCCACCCCAGCGCCGCCGCCGAGCCTCCCAGCCCCTGACATGCCCCGGGTTACGCGCCCTTCCCTCCGGAGGCGCAGCCCCCGGGACTTGGGCGAGCCATAGCCCAGGGTCCCGGCCCGGCGCGGTCGGGCCTCCGCTTCCGAACCCAGTCGACGCCTCTCTCACGGTCGCCCGGACTTCGAAATACGAGGCACGAGGCATTCTGGGAGTTGTAGTCTGCGCCCCGCTCACCTGCCGGGACCAAGGGAACAGGGGACGCTAATATGAACTACATTTCCCAGGGTTCCCCCTGCGCGGCCGTTAGTCGAAACCCGGCCTCGGGTCACCACTCGGCCGTTGCTAGGAGCTGCCTCAACGCCGCTTTGGGAAAAGGGCCCCTCTGGCTCCAAGGCGAATACATCTGGGTTCTAATACCGAGCACTCTCCTGTGTGCTGAATCGTGAGTGGGAGGGCGTGTTAAGTTTAGAAGATTGACACGTTAAGCCATAATTGTGTATTTATCCCACATTCCAAAGCTTAGGGAAGTGGCTGTGACCTAACTGTTCAATTAAAATCCACGATGCAACGCCAGAATGAAACCCAGTACCAGTGGCCGGCAAACTCATTAGCCAACAGAGCTGCAAACCGCGGCTCGCGAGCCGCAGTTTGCCGACCACTGCAACACCATCACCAAAAAAGACACACAACACTTTTTGTGTTAATTACAGGTTTTATTAGGGGTCTTTCGACTTAACAAAGGAAAAAGGGGTTAGTGGTTTGGCTTACCCGGAGGCCAGTGTTGGTGGGTCACTGCTGTCTAACCGCCACTGACATGCTATGGACCCGGGCACCTTGTACTCCTGTCCCCGCTGAATGCCAGGGAGGGCAACAATGCAAGCCAAATGCAACTTGTCCAGGAAAAACCAAACTCAAGCCACAAGTAAAAGGAAAAAGGGGAACAAAGAAATTATACATGCCAAGGGATACAGGTCCCATCCTTGAATCCACAGCAACTGTAAATAAATGGTTTTCACAAAGTAGTCAGCAGTCTGAATATTATGTGGAAGATTTGTTACCTAATCTATGAAAGTCAAGAGTATTGTGGCAAAAAACTTACTTTGGTTCAGAATTTTTAAAAATATTTTTGAGAGAGAACCATTCACTTGTTGTTTGTTCCACTTCTTTATGCAGCCATTGGTTGATTCTTACATGTGTCCTAATTGGGGATTGAGTTTACAAACCTTGGCCTACTGGGACAATGCTCTAACCACCGAGCTACCTGGCCAGGGCTGGTTCAGGTTTCTTAAAATCACTTTCAGTTTTCCATGGTTTCCTGAAGTAATGAATGGTTCACTTAAGGGAAAATCACACAAACAAAAACCCTTAGAATCTAGGAATGTGCCAGCCTGCAACAGCTAACATCTGGTAATTCACTCTGAAGATTCCTTATAATTATAAGGGATTCCTTATAATTCCTTATAATTCTATAATCCAGTAACAGAATTTAATAAGTATGCACAGCTATTGGGTCGGCAACTAAGTAATTGCGGATTTTAAAAAAGAAAATCAAAGACAATTTTTTCATGGAACTAAATAACTTTATTCTGTAATGTAATGCCCATTTTGATCAATGACCTTTTGCCATCTTTCAGGCAGCATCATAATCCCACGTTCAAAAAATTTCTGGTTTTTATTAGCAAAAAACTGAATCAGGTACGATTTGACATCATCATCATTATTGAAATTTTTACCATTCAAGGAGTTTTGTAAAGATCGAAACAAAAAGTAATCAGATGGTGCAAGGTCAGGACTATATGGTGGATGTGGCAAAACATCCCAACCAAGCTCCATTAATTTTTGCCGAGTGACCAAAGATGTGTGTGGCCTTGCATTGTCATGATGGAATACAACACCTTTTTGATTTGTCAATTCGGGCCGCTTTCCTTCAACTGCATTGTTTAATTTCATTAGTTGTTCAATGTAGACATCAGAATTGATCGTTCGGTTGGGTGGTAAGAGTTCAAAGTAGACAATTCCTTTGTAATCCCACCAAACTGATAACAAAACCTTCTTTTGATGAATATCAGCTTTTGATGTTGTTTGAGTTGGTTCACCTGGCCTGCTCCACGATCTTTTCCGCTTGATATTGTTGTAAACAACCCATTTTTCATCGCCAGTTATCAGTCGTTTTAAAAATGGATCATTTTCATTACGTTTCTTTAGCAAATCGCAGCTGCTAATGCGTTGCGTTAACTGTGATTCTTTCAGTTCGTGAGGTACCCATGTATTGAGTTTTTGAACATAGCCAAATTGTTTTAAGTGATTTTCAATGCATGTATGTGATACATGAAGCTTCTCTGCAATCTCACGTGCTGTACTGTGACAGTCCGAATTGATTATTGCTTTGATTAGGGCGTCATCAACTTCAACTGGACGACCAGAGCGTTTTTCATCTTTGAGTGAAAAATCACCAGAACGAAATTTGGCAAACCAATTTTGACACTGCCGTTCTTTTAAGGCTTCGTCACCATAAACAGCACATAACTTTTTATGAGCTTGCGATGCGTTTTTCCCTTTGCGGAAATAAAAAAGCAAAATATGACGAAAATGTTCCTTTTGATTTTCCATTTTTCAAAGAACGCCAAACAAAAAGTACAAAACAGATCAAAAAACTTTTTTTACTGATTAACAGCTGAATAGCCAACTATCAAATAACAAAATGTGTTTTACATTTGTACTACGTCTGCAAATCTAAAAATTCAACTGAAGCCATGTGTGAAACCCGCAATTACTTAGCTGCCGACCCAATAAAAGCTAAACTCCACCACCACCATTTTTATTGACTTCAGAGAGGACAGGAGAGAGAGAAATGTCAATGATGAGAGAGAATCATTGATTGGCTGCCTCCTGCACGCCCCACACTGGGGATCGAGCCTGCAACCTGGGCCTGAGCCCTGACCAGGAATCGAACCATGGCCTCCTGGTTCAAAGGTCGATGCTCAACCACTGAGGCATGCAGGCTGTGAGAAACTACCAGCACCATTTCATTTATTTACTTATTTAAATATATATTTTATTGATTTTTCACAGAGGGGAAGAGAGAGGGATAGAGTCAGAAATATCGATGAGAGAATCATCGATCAGCTGCCTCCTGCACACCCCCCACCGGGGATGCACCCGCAACCAAGGCACATGCCCTTAACCGGAATCGAACCTGGGACCTTTCAGTCCACAGGCCGACGCTCTATCCACTGAGCCAAACCGGTTTCGGCCCACCACCACCATTTTAAAATGAAAAAATCATTTTAGTCATTTATCTATGACTTGGTCTAATCCTCCAAGTAAAATATTGAGTAGTAAACATTCAATTAGTTGAGATCTCGGTGTTACTCCATGAAAATGACTAACACCTTTCTGGGCATCAGGAGAATAAAAAACTCCTGCTCTGCTGAAACGTTTTTAAAAATCGGGACTTTTTTAAAACGCCGAGGGACAAATTGTTAAAAATCGGGACGGTCCCGCCAAAAGTGGGATGTCTGGTCACCTTAATCTATGGCCAAGTCTGCCTCCTCGGGAACAGCAGACTGGACCCGCTGCTTCCTGGTCAGCCCTCAACAAACCAGTTCTGACCGGACAGGAGCGCTCCTGGCTCCCGAGACGCAGCAATGCCAGCGGATGGTGGGCTCAGGCAGGCCTCACACCTTCTTTTGTTCCCAGGGTTACCTACCTCATAAACCCGTTACCTTAAAGCTCTTCATACTGTGAACTTGTTCAATTAGGTGGTACCCTCTTGGCCTCTACACAGTACGCATCAGGGAGGTTTTACTACATCTTTATTCTTTGATTACAGTGAGTCAAGTTCAAGACAAAACATTCCAATATTAATAAAAATAGTATCAAAGGTCAGATTTAGTTTATTAGGTGCATGTATTTCAAACACAGATCCTGATTACAGACGTTCACCTGTGGGTAAGGTGCTTAAGCACTGATTGTGAAACAATTCTGTATTGAACAGGTCAATATCCGGTAATGTAAATATTATTTCTCAGAATCTGAACTACTGTCAAGAAATACTCAAATGAGATGAGCATAGTGCTTTTTTATTTCCATCTTAGCACACTTATTCATTCTCCTGGAGAGAGTAAGGCTGGTGTCAACAGACAAGAATTCCTGCTGGGCCTAAAATTCTCCTGTTCCTGGGACAGATTTTATGTCAGGTCCCCAGAGAGGAATAATTCCCATGAACTACAGCACTTCCTCAAGGACAATCAGTTTCCTGAGGCAGAAACAACTAGTTTCACAGACACAGTTAACAGGTTAAAAAAATTTTTAAATCAAGTGATGTATTGTTTTACATTGATTTTAAGAATAAAACTCAATGAGATACATGTTTACTTTACATATAGAATGATTGTGTGAATTAGGTTTCAGTTGAAAGGACAACTTAGTTCAGATAAAACGCCTAGAAACACTGAAAATAAAACCAGAAGTACAGGAAGAAAGATTCTAGGCAATTTCCATTTATCCTTCAGCCTTCGTTTCAATGACTATATTTTCTGATTCAAGTCAGAACACATGGTTTGGGAAGGGTTTTCTATGCTACTCCGGGCGTGAGAGGCTGTAACCTGAGTGATGCTTTTACTTCTGCCTGCCAGGTGCTGGGACCTCCAAGCATGTTAACTGTTTAGCCAAAATGACGGCACGTATGCAATCTGGATTGTTCCAGGCTTTCCAGTTAGTATGGTCACCGAAGTCACGGTAAGCGTAACCCTCTACTCCCTCCACCTTTCTCCTTTTTCCCCTCCTCCAGTAGGTTGAGGAGGAGGGCGGGAGATCAAATACCACTGACTGAAGTCCCATCAGCTGCCAAGGGTCCCGTGAGAGAGAACTTTGCTACCTGCCTCTTCCCACGATGCTGTGACAGCTTAGGGTCCTGTGAACTCAAGAATTCCCAGCTCACAGACCATGACCTCGCAGGGCGCCTCAGCTGAAGAAACCCTTGTGTTGGATCATGCTACTATGAACGATCAGAGAAACGCCAGCGATCAAGGGCAAGCAGGCAGGTAATGTGTCAAGCACGGACTCACACCAAATTTCCTGATTAGTTTATTTCTCCCAATCTGTGTTCTTCGTTCTGCTTTTAAGCCAGGGCCCATGGTGGGAGGGGTAGGGCACTCAGCAGGAAAGCTCAGAAGGGTTCTACCCCCACTTTAAAAACACCTTTGCTTAAAAACACACTTATCCAGTGATTAGCAATTAAGAAGTGAAAAATTAACTACTCGGTAGTTAAACTCTATGAATTATCCAAAGTTACGGCCTGGGATCAGCAGCGTTACGAGGGGAAATCATACTGCATTTCTTAAAGCTCTTTCTGAATGCTTAGCAGGTCTTTCTTAGTGTTAATTGCACTTGAAACATTTGATTTTTCATTTAATCTCTGAAAGCTGTTCATTGTTTTCTTCGTTGATACAGAGGAAAAGGTCAATTTATCGTGTGCTCCGAAGCTCTCTGGATGGATCGAGATTCGTGCAGGTTGTGTGACAGGTGCAGGGGGCGAGGCGGACTGAGGCCGTGACCTTCAGAGCTTGGACTGCAGTGGCTTCAGGTGCTTGTAGAAAGACTCATGGACCTGAGGGGAGGCAGGGGGAGAAGGGACTGATCAGGAGCTTGCAGTGTAAAAGCCCTTTCTGTTGTTGTTAATCCTCACCTGAGGATGTTCTTCCCACTGATTTTTAGAGAGTGAAAGGGAGGAAAGGAGGAAAAGAGAGAAGAAAGAGAAGAGAAAAACATCAGACTGGGGCTGGGAATTGAACCTGTGACCCTTCAGTGCTTGGCCAATGCTCTAACCACTGAGCCCACCGACCAGGGCTAAAAGAGCATACTCTAAACCACATGTGTCAAACACAAGGCCCGCGGGCCAAATCCGTCCCGCCAGGCCTTGCAATGTGGCCCGCACCACGCTGTCATCACTGCACTCCGCTGCGTTTCCATCACAATGACAGTTTATGACTGTTCAGTAAACCATTCGGCCCGCGATTTAGGCTGGATTTTAGATTTTGGCCCCTTCTCTGATTGAGTTCGCCAAGAATTATCAGGGCCTCATGTGGACCATGATCCAAAGAATTGGGGGTGGGGTGGGGGGATAGAATTGAGCCACCTGGGAAACTTTGGGCACGGAGTAGTTCATGATACAATCCTTATCTTTTAGAGCAGTGGTTCTCAATGACCTTTAATCCAGCTCCTGTGTGGTGGTGGCCCCCAACCATAAAATTATTTTCGTTGCTACTTCATAACTGTCATTTTGCTACTGCTATGAATCATAACGTAAATATCTGTGTTTTCCGATGGCCTTAGGCTCTACAGATCCACGAGCAGGGCCGCCTAGACCACGGGAAAACACAGATATTTACATGTCGGAGGCGCGCTAGCCAAGCTTTCACAGACGGACCTGCCAGGGGCCTTGCTGTCTCGGGGCCCGGAGTCGCCGGGGAGGACCTGCATTACCTCGGCTTTGTTGAGCGGGGAGGTCTTCGCCCACTCGAACAGGTTCTCGTACACGTTGCCGTCGTAGCGGCCCAGCACGGAGCCCAGCGACACGTCCTGGAAATCAAACGCATCGACCAGCGTGACAGCGTCCGGGCGGATCACGGTCAGCAGCTCCTTGATGCGTTGGTGCACCTGGGTGACCTGGGTGTCCGTCAGGATGTTCTCCTGCAAGAAAAGCATGCAAACGGCTTGTGTGCCTGTCCGGTGCTCCGGGTTGCGTCATGACGTTGAGTTAACGACACTATTGCGATAACAAAACCCGCGTGTCTTTCTCCATACGGACAACTGCAAACCTGTTTGCCCGGCCCTGTATGCAGACAGCTCCATATATCATATGCACGCACAACGATCAATCAGACCACACCATTTTCTCCCGAAGGAAAGGAGCCGCCAGCGGGAGGAGGTGCTGACCTGGAGGAAGTCCCCCGCCTTCTGGCTGATCCCGTACAGCGCGTACAGGAGGCACAGGTTCCGCAGCACGGCCTGGATGGGCTTGTCCTGGATTTTCAGGAGCTGCTCTGAGAAGAGCTTTACCGTCACGTAGTGGCAGTGCGCCTAGAGAGAGAGGGAGTGGGGGGGGGGGGGGGGAGAGAGGGCAGCAGGGGTGAGAACGCTGCAGGGCTCACCACCAGCGCCCCGTCTGCGGGACAGGGAGGCGGTGGCGGGTGGGCCTGGGCCGGGAGCGCAGCGCCACCACTGACCTCACTTGCTCGCACGAGGTCCACGGAAGTCAGGTTCCACGCGACCTCTTTGCTTTTCCGGTGACTCACTTCCGTCTGAAGGTTTTTGGCAGCGATTTCTACCAATCTGTTAAGAAATGAAAGGAAACGGAAGCTCAGAGGAAGGGAGCCACGGTGCCCACGCCTCCCTCTTCTTCTGTCAGGCCCAGCCCGGGCCCCACGGCCGCCCGAGGGGTGCTCACCTGGCCGCCCGGAGCCGGTAGGCCTCGGTGAGGCTGTGGGGGCTGTCGATGTCCACCACGGTGGGCCACACGGCCACCTGCTGCGGCTGGATGCGCTGGCTGGGCAGGTCGTTCAGGTAGGACACCATGCCGCACACCAGCTTCCCCGCGTGCACCTGGTCGTAGCTCTTCATCAGAAACCTAGAGCCAGACGCAGCGTTCAGTGGCTGCTTCTCAGAAGCAGGAATGAACGAACCCTTCAGAGGGTAAGTGAAGGGACAGGTGAGCTTTACACTCTCTGTCTGATCACAAGATCAACAGAGTGGGTGCGGGCAGAAGGCGCGATGACGTCTGTAAGGGACACACTTAGTGTGAAGAGCACACACGGTAACCGGGGCCGGTGGAAAGGACTGGAACGCTCTAGCTAACGGGCCGGGCAGCGCGGCCAGGACTCACCGGGCGGTCTGCAGCATCATGACGGTGTTCTCGCCCTCGAAGGTGCAGGTCGGGGTGAAGGTGACGTAGATATTGGGGAGGCCGCTGCAGTGAGAGTAGCCGTGCCCACCACAGGCCATCCGGCAGGCTTCGATGGCCGCGTTGGTCGTCCAGGAGGTGAAAGCCTTCAGCCCGGCGGTGAGGGCATGGAGCTGAGGGCAAGCAAGGCCGTCAGAACGTGCGCTGACAGCGGAGTTCCGAGGAGAAACACTAACCTCCCTGCCAGCACTGGTCGCTTTCAAAACCATCTGCCACGCGTGTATCGGAAGCAGCGTGGGCATCTCCTGCCTGATCCTCCCAGTCCCCTCCCACACTCCCTCGGAACTGCTCTACTTGGCAAAAAGTCTCCACTGTGTTCCCTTCGTTAACAGATGACCAACATGGTGCAGCGCTTCAGAAACTTAAAGACCAAACTCACAGCCCAACCGACGTGGCTCAGGGGCTGAGCATCAACCTAGGAACCAGGAGGTCATGGTTCGATTCCCAGTCAGGGCACATGCCCATTGTGAGGCGTGCAGGAGGCAACTGATCAATGATCCATGATTCTCTCTCATCATTGATGTTTCTCTCTCTCTTCTCTGAAATGGACAAAAATGATAAAAACAAACACTACATGTGTTCAAAGCTAACTCCATTCAATCAGAAGAATTTTTTGGATCTTTTTGAGAATATACGGAGCATTCAAGAAATGCCAGTGCGTGCTTCCCCCGGACACCATCTAACAGGCACCTCGGGCAGCTCGCTCAGGTCCCCGTGGCCGATGTCCTCGTTAATGCGGTGGTAGGTCTCCTTCATGTAGGCGCCGACAAAATGGAAGGCATAGGCAGTGGCCAGCAGCGGGAAGAGTTTATATTGCTGGGTTTGAAAATCCAAAATCTGTGGTTCCGGTTCACTAAGATATATAGAAAAAGGGGGGAAATTATACACACATACAGAACAGACTCTGAGCCAGGCTGCAGTCTAAGCACTTTGGCCTATTAACTTATTTCATCCTCTTAAAGACCCTGGGAGGGAACACGTGTTACCCCATTTTACAGATGGGCAAGGAGAGGTCCAGGACAGCTGCACTCACGCAGCTAGTAAGGGGCAGACCCTCGATTTACAGTGAGGCGATGTTGCCACAGAAGATGCTCTTAACCCCCCGTCGTAGGTGGACACACATTTCTAGCTGTGACGTTCCGATCTTTCTGTCTTTCCAGCATGACTACGGAAACTACCTCACGGCAACATACAAAAGCAGAGTTAGTTAACTTTGTAGGAGGAAGGCAATGGTAAAGAGATCCAACCTGCTAACTAGATGGCTGAATAAGTTATATTTTGACCACAACTATGGAGAAGACCCTGTGCACAGAATTAAATATTTAAATGCTAAGAAGGTCTGCTCATATTGATTCCTTTATTCCTTCTTTCGGACTGAAAGGCAGTAGTAGGGATAAACTATGGGGATGGACACAATATGGAGCAAAGTTCAATGTCGCTTTCGCCATGCCCTATTTGTCACTGTTAGTAGCAATTCGAATTTCCAAACTGCCTTCACTGTTTTGAACATTTCCTAAGAAGAGCTCAAGTAACATTATTCCTGTTTTTTTGGCAGGTGGTCCTCTCCTCTTTCCGCTATGGAAAGGAAATGCAGGTTCTAAGCAGCAGGCCGGCACACTGCCAGCCCAGCTCAGTCTATGGCCACGGCGTCTTCTCTGCACCACGTCGGGGGATTTGGTATCCGACTGTCTCAAAGCCAGGAGGTCAGTGATGAGCCCATCGGCCCCCCTTACCCCGGCTTGATCTCGGACTGGTGCCTCACGGCGCTGTATCGGATGGCGATGGTGCAGGCCTTGGCCAGGCTCCGGGCGGCTTCGCCCACAAGGAAGGACCTGATGAACACCATGGTGCCGTAGGTCAGCTTGTTGCTCACAGGCTTCACGTAGGTGCCATCAGGCTTCACCTGGAAAAGGACAGGGGGCTGAGCTTCCAAGAGGCAGCCTAGGCCAGTGGTTCTAAGTGTGGTCCCAGAACGACCCAGGGGCATTGCCTGCGGACTTGTTTCAAACAGAAAGCCCTGGCCGGTGTGACTCAATGGGTTGGGCGTAGTCCTGGGCTGTGGGCTCGATCCCAGATAGGAGTGTGTAGGAGGCAGCCAGTAGATGTTTCTGCTCTCACCCTGATGTTCCTCTCTCTCCCCCACTCCCTTCCTCTCTCTCTCAAAATCAATAAAATAAAATAAATTTAAAAATCTCATTAAGTCAGAAACTCTGGGGGCAGAGCACTGTAGATTTCAGCCAGCCCTCGATGATTCTAATGAGCCCTCAAGTTTGAGACCGCTGGTTTAGCCGACCAGAATATGCTCTTTAGACCTGCCACCGGCTGCCGGCTTCACTGTCACAATAAAAGCAGCACCAGAAGTGAAGCTATGTTGATAGCTTCTAGAAACAGACCCTGTTAACCCTGAGGTCAGCACCAGACACAGCACCCCGCGCCCGACACCCTGCTCCTCCTGCGTCTCACTCACCTGGGCATACTTCATCAGCATGTTTTCTCTGGGGATCCGAAAATGGTCCATCTTCAGGTAACCATTATCCATCTCATCATAGCCAAACTTGGGGCCAATGTCGCCAACCGTGATGCCTACCATGAGAGAAAGGAAAGTCACCAGGGTCTCTGCTCTGGAAACCCTGGCTGTCCCACTCCTCTTTTGTTGGGTTTTATGCTTTTTGCAGAAGAAAGTGCTCGGTTTAAGTTTTCATGTCAACATCAGATGAACAACTCTAACCTGGCAGAGGCTTGTGGGTTCCAATCTCACGAAGAGGCACGATGAAGGCATGTAACCCATAGCATTTCCCCTGGGTGTAGAGCTGGGCTAGCACTATCGCATGATTTGAAGTCTTTCCAACTGCGACATCAAAAAACAAGAGACACAAGTGAGCCGTTCTTACATGATCCGAGGGGCAGAAATGGAAGAGAAAACATGTTAAATGAAATGCTAGCCTCTCGACAGTGTGCCAGAAAGCCTTTCTTATGACAGCGCCACACCGTTTTCAGAAGAAAATCTGTGTAAGATGAGAGTTATTAAAATGTATGGAACTTTGGCAGAGCAATCCTCCATTTCCATAGATATATATGTACACACACACACACACACACACATACACACAAGAGGCCTTCCTTTCCCTGGCTGCCGGCACGGGTTTTCCTCTGGCACCCAGGACCTGGGCTGCAGCAGAGCCAAGCCTTTAGCCTTCAGGCTTCTGGAGCCTTCAGTCTTCGCTCTGTGCCTGTGTATATAAATTAACCTGCCATTTTGTTGGGTTAATTTGCATACTCACTCCTGATTGGCTGGTGAGCATCGTGGAGATAGTCAATTTGCATCTTTCTCTTTTATTAGTGTAGATATATACACTAATGGGATGACTGACATATAATACCATCTAAGTTTAAGATGTACAATTCCTTGACAGTATTTTATTTTCAAAGATGACTCAGCTCTCTTTACTACTATTTTCTCATTTACATAAACAAAGTAATGCTTTCCAAAGCAGTAGCCGCCAGACACCTGTGGCCATTTGTGTTAATTACAATGAAGTAAAAGGAAGAAAAGATTCCATTCCTTTGCCAACCAGCGGACCTTGGGGTGCTCCACTGGGGTGCACGGTAGCAGCCAGCACCTGGAGCAGCAGTGAGAGCCGCCCATCGTGCAGAAGGCTCTGAGGGCCAGTGCTGTCAGGAGATTTCTGGTTAGTACTTCCAGAATTTGTGTCTTCTTGTTGCATGCTAGTCTGTTTCTTATATTATACAAAAATATATTAAAATATATAATGTGAATAACAAAATCCTTCAAGCACTGACGCCATCTGAAATATATATCCTAAGACAATGACTCGGAATGGAAGACAATATTAAATAAGTTTCATGTAAAATTTATTTATGATAAAAATCTGAAAATAACTCAAGTGCTTTTCAATACAGAAATGACGAACCACACAGCGAGTGCAGGGCTACCTGAATGACGACGACGTAAACTACGCTCACACTCAGACACGCTTCGATGGAAGCTGAGCAGAGACAGCTCTCCTTCCTGCGCTGTGAGGTGTAAGATCTGTAACGCTCAGCAGAACGTTAAACAGCTTAGAATAGGTAAGCCTGGAGTTTTTCTATTAAGAAAAAGAAGCTTTTTCTATATTTCAAAGCGATATTCTCATATGAGCTCTCCATTCCAAACGTGACCTTCAAACATCCAGTCACTGTTCCAAAGCTCACTTACGTCCCCCAGGCCACCACTTGATGGAGGTCACCGTCGGACTATTGAGAATGAACTCCTGGGTCTCCGGGTCGTATGTGGCTGTGGTCTCCAGGCCGCGCAGGTGAGTCCCTGGGGAACAAATCACATGCACGTCAGCCACACGAGGGAAAAGAGGCACAGAGCACAGTCTCCCGACCAGTCCTCTAAGCTGGACCATCTCAGGATAACATCTCAGGTTAATCGGTCCTCTAAGCTCTGACTATACAGTGCTTTTGGATGAGCTACCCATGGTTGAAAACCAAGATAGTAACTCCCGGTCCCTAACCAGATAATATCATTGAGAGCACCCAAAAGGAAAAGTAAAGGCAGCTTAGGATCCTACTTTCTAAGATCCCAGGACATGAATTTCAGTAACTGCCCTCCTAAGCCCATCTCTAAGTGTGAGTATGCCAATTTCAACGCAGGCTATTGTGTTTTCCTGGCCAACTACAAAGAGTAAGATAACGTGACAGGAAGAGACTCTCTAGCTAGATGTCTTGCAGATTGAGCGTTTGTTTCAGAATAATTGCCAGCATGGCAAACAAGATCTGCGAAAGGCTCACATGTGGGGAGAAGACCCAGGCCGCCTCGCCTGGTGGCTCTCTGTGAGCCAGGAAGAGCTCCCGGTGCCGTGACTGCTGAAGGGGCAGGAGTCTTGGTTTAAATCCCAACGCGACGTGCCCTTTCCCTTAAAGGCCAGTTCCTCAGAACACAAACAGCGGAGTCAGGCTGGGTGGGTCTCACTAACACGGAAACTCCGACGTTTAGAAACTTCCCAGGAGCACGCAGGCACTGGTTTCCGTGGGACCCACAGCCTTCCCCGAGTGGGAATCAAGGAAGCGGACACAGAGACGCCGCTCGCCAAGGCAGCAGCCTTTCACTGAACAGAACGGAGGACGACCAAGAGCTTAAAGATGCACATTTGAACCAAATGGCATCCACTGTGAGCCTCGCCAGAGCGCTCAGCACCAAAGCGGAAGACAGAACAGCTGTGACGAGATGAAGTCGCACAGAAATAAGAAATGGCAACCACACAGACCAGCTGTCCCGAGACCTCTGAGGGAAAGAGAAGCCAGAGAGAAGCCAACTGCCTGGGGGCACAGCCGATCTTGTTCTTTATTTTGGCTAATCCTCACCCAAGAATATTTCTTCCTATTTTAGAGAGAATGGAAGGGAGGGGTACCAACAGAGAGAGAGAGAGAGAGAGAGAGAGAGAGAGGAACATTGATGTGAGGGACACATCAATTGGCTGCCTCCTGCACACACCCCAACCAGGACTGGGATAAAACCTGCAGGAACCGACAACCCAGTGTGAGCCCTTGACCTGGAATTGAGCCAGCAACCCTTCCGTGCAAGGGCTGACGCTCCAACCATTGAGCAACATCGGCCAGGGCACAGCTAATCTTATTTTCCTGAACTCTGGCGAAGCCAGCTTTAGAACTTGACCGAATTTACTGGATCAAGGCATAAGTAACTTCCAGGTATAAAATGCTGCATGTTTTGGTTATATAAGCCACTCACTTCCGGTCAGCAAATCAGAGAGCACGCATACTGTAAATCTGTATTTCTTCTGGAATTTCTGCAAATTCGTGATGTACCCATAGTAAGGGTGATCAGATAGTAACGAAGAAAGATGGGTTCAGAGTCTATAATGCATACATTCTACGCAACTCCAGTGAACCCGAAAAACCACTGAGCAAGGCCTGGCTTGTCATTACTGATCTCCTAACGGGAAGCAATGGAAAGAAAACCAGCCTGTCTCTGTGATCATGTAACCTTTCACTTCCACTGACAAAAGCACTGTCTTTGCTAAGACTTGTACGTTGAAAAACCTGGCTTCTACAGAAAGGGCACGTGTTAACGGCTCGCACGTGCCATGGCTAGCAAGCGGCGGGCACGCCGTCTGCACTCAGCTTGCAGCACCCGCCCAGCCCAGAACGGAGACCGAACGCAGCGTACCATGGCCCATCTCTGTCTGGGCATAGGTGCCAATGACCTCCAAGTTCCAGGCGGGCATGAAGAAGCGCTCCTGCTGCTCCGCAGTCGCCTGGTGAAGCAAGGTGGGCAGGAACATGCCCAAGTGGAGATCCAGAGGCGAGGGCCCTCGGTGCACAAAGCTTGAAGGCACCCCGGGTGGGCATTGGGAAGAGCCGTCAGGTGGGAGAGAATCAGCAGTGTGCACAGAGGGAGGGAGGGAGGGGAGAAAAAACAAACAACCTCTGTGAGTACGTTAGTGGGGCCTTCACGTGTCAGAGCACCGCCGCTGTCTGCATCGCCCTCTCTCGTGGCAGTGACTCCCAGTTCTCTTCGCAACCCTCCTCTCCAAAGCCACATCTCAAAGCCTCTGCAGCACAAAACCGTGGGGGAGGCTAAGGGGGCCGGGCTTGCCGCCAGTCAAAGGAGAAGAGAAATCGGAAGAGGGTACGTGGAGTTTGGAATTTAGCTTACTACAGAAACTGGCAGTGCTCTTCACCCCAGCACATTTCAGAAATTAAAAAGCATATAATCAATCACAAGTCACAGATTCATGGCGCACAAGCTCTCCATTATGGTTTATGGGATTGTCACTAATGACAACAAGCATCTTTGCAGTAATTTTAGTTCCACTTTCTAACATCTTCCTTCTCCACCTAAACTCTGCAGATGCTTTAGACTTTTGTGTATCTTAATAGGAAATAGTTCTATATGCCTTCCACAAGCCCTGTATTTTATTTATTTTTTTATTGTTAATTTTGAGAGAGAGAGAAACATTGGTTGGAGAGAGCAACATCAGGAGGCTGCTTCCCGCATGCCCTACTGGTTGTGGGTTTGCTCCCTGGTGAGGGCACATGCAAGAATCAAGCAATGGCCGAGACCGGTGTGGCTCAGTGGATAGAGCGTCAGTCTGCGGACTGAAAGGTCCCAGGTTTGATTCTGGCCAAGGGCATGTACATTGGTTGCAGGCACATCCCCGGTAGGGGGTCTGCAAGAGGCAGCTGGTCGATGTTTCTCTCTCATTGACATTTCTAGCTCTCTATCTCTCTCCCTTCCTCTCTGTAAAAAGTCAATAAAATATATTAAAAAAAAAAAAAAAAAAGAATCAAGCAATGGATGTATAAGTAGGTGGAGCCCTCTCCCCCCTCCTCCTCCCTCCACATAAAGAAAATAAAGACTCCTGTCGCCTAGCCATCTCCTAGTCCAGTGGCCCTGGGTTGAGACAATGAAGAGGACACTTGCCGAAACCAGAGCTGTCCCTGGGAACGCCCAGTGAGATGTGAGCCCTGGTGGAAACTGGGTGAAAGGCCCCGGGACCGCTCTATGCTATTTCTGCAATTCCTAGGAATGGACAATCCTAGGAATTTCAAAATGATCAGTTAAAAAAACACGCTCCAGCATGAGAGAGGACCTCTCACTCACAATCGAGAATGCCAGCTGTCCCGTTTTTAAAGGGACGACGAATAGGGAACAAAATAAATGTCTGCCTGGGACCTGAAAAGAAAAAAGCGCTCTGAACTAGGGCTGACAGCCCTGGCCAGGACCAGGCCGGCAGCGCTGGGCTGATCTGCATTACTAGAAACCAGAGCCGCGCCTGGGGAGGGAGGGAGGGAGGGAGGGCGGCAGCGGAGTGCGGCCTTACGGAAGAGCACCACAAACAGGCTACCACAAACGCACGTTAGGACGCTGGTAAAGCCACTACAGCCAGCTGTTCTTGAGCCTGAAGAGTGTTATCTAGGAGTGGATGGAATTTAGGCATGCTACAAGGAGAAAGTGATCTTAGACAATTCTTTGACTTAAATATTTGTTGTAAAAAGTCATGCATAATGAAGATTAAAATGTTTTTTAGAGAGGGGGGGATTGAGGGAGGCTGAGAGAGAGAACATGGATTTGTTGTTCCACTTACTGACGCATTCAATGGTTACCGCTTGCATGAGCTGCACCTTGGTGTATGGGGATGGTGCCTAACCAACGGAGCTACCGGCCGGGCTTTGGGCATCACTGGAGGCCCGATGATGGAATCCGTGCAAGAGGGGCCTTCCTTCTCCCAGCTGCTGGCACCGGCTCCCCCCTGGCACCGGACTGGGCTTCCCTCCAGCCTGGCTTTGTCCGGAAGGATGTCCGGTCTAATTAGCATATTATGCTTTTATTATTATAGATTTTACATTTTACTTGGTGAAGCACTAGAGTTGATTTTTTAAAAACCGTAACACTGAAGGCCTTTCCAGTCAATACTGAGGACAAAATGACTGGTTGATGATGTCAGAGGAAGGAAGGAATGAAAACACCGGCATTCCTAAAGGATGCTGGGAAAGCTGTCAGCCCGGCTGGGTAGCTCCGCTGGCGGGAGCATTGTCCCAGTCCACCAAGGCTGTGGGCGTGGTCCCTGGTCAGAGCATATACCAGAAGCAACCAATGGTACATAAATAAGTGGAACAACAAATCCATCTCCTCTCTCTCTCAAATCAATAAATAACTTTTTAAAAAGAAAGGAAAGCTGTAGGCTATAAAGAAAAAAAGCCACTGCATTCTTATTAAGACCATTCAAGTAAAAACACCAGAGAAGAGATTTACAAAATCAACAAAACATTTAAAATGGGTTAAGTAACTTAGCTCATTAAACATTTAATTAGGAAAAAAATTATACTTAATAATATGAATAAAAAAGATAAGAACAAAAAGGAAATTGCTAATTCCTGGCTGAAAGGACTAAATAAAGTTAATACTTCCCAATAAATCACAAGGATGTAATGCAGCATGGATTTTAAGTTCCTGTAGAATTCACTTTACAACTTGATAAATTGCAATCAGAATTCATCTAGAAGAGTAAGTATGCAAAGTACACCAAATACATGTAACTTGAAATGTAACAATAGTTGTAGGCTTAGCCTATCAAGTTTAAAATATCTTACAAAGCAACAACGAGCCCAAGTTTATGATGCTACCCTGTTTCCCCGAAAATAAGACAGTGTCTTATATTAATTTTTTTCTCCCAAAGTTGCGCTAGGTCTTATTTTCAGGGGATGTCTTATCTTTTCCTGTGCTAGGTCTTATTTTCGGAGATGTCTTATTTTCGGGGAAACACAGTAGGAGAAAGACAAAGGAAGACACAAATGACAGTAATATATTTAAGATTCTAGAAGAAAGTTAAAACTATTATAAGATGAATCAGAAAGAACGTAACAATGGTGATGAGCTAAGAGTTAATAAACATAAATACAGTAAGGGATCATTCATCACTCTAGAACATACATAGGTCAAAGCGCTGAATATGAAGCCAACAAGATTGGGAAAAAATAGAACACTTAAACCTACTCAGAGAAGGGTGCATTGAACACATACGGCCAAACGTGTAATGAAACAGAAAGCAATAGAAAAAATATTGCAAGGGTACAGTATACTCATATAAAATCAACATGCATATTGCATTTAATTGATACTCAAAGTAGGAAAATTCAGCCTTAACTGGTTTGGCTCAGTGATAGAGTGTCGGTCTGAGACTAAAGGGTCCCAGGTTCGATTCCGGTCAAGGCCATGTACCTTGGTTGTCGGCACATCCCCAGTGGGGTGTGTGTAGGAGGCAGCTGATCAATGTTTCTCATCAACGTTTCTAACTCTCTCTCCCTTCCTCTCTGTAAAAAAATCAATAAAATATATTTAACAAAAGAAAAAAAGAAAAAGGAAAATTCAGTTTTATACTTGGGAAATGCAGACAGTAAGCCAAAACACATAATAATATCTGGGCACTGGAAAATTAAAACTCTTAACTCAGATACATATTGATGTAGCAATACAAAGTTACAGGAACTATGTTGATGAGGCTATGGAGATCCAAGTTTACTAAAAAGTTGCTAAATACACTGTAAACTGGTTCTGTGCTTTAGAAGAAGTACTGAACTATGCAATAAAAGCTAGAAAACATTCATTTCCTTTAACACGGTCATTTGTTGCTGAGATATTCTAAAGGCACAGCCCAAAGGACAGTTTTTGTACAGAAGCTGACACTGTTATCCCTGACAGTGGGAAAGGAGACCGGCCCAAACACGCAGGGAGCGAGTCTCCTGGGCAGTCCCCAAAGGGAGGAGACTCGCCCAGGAAAAAGGACAGAGACGGTTGGGGGGACAGCAGGGAAGACACAGGGGAGAAAGATCACTGACTTACAAATTCAAGCTCACCATTTTTCAAGTTTCAGAGGGAGAAAGAGGCGTTATTAGCGATGGGAATTTGCAAAGATACTGCAGCATCTTCAAGGACGATCACTACGCATTGTATAAGCTGCATTTTCCTTAAGAGTAATAACAATAACAGTCAGTAACAGAAACGACATGCAAACGACTAGAGTCAAAACCGGTTTGGCTCAGTGGACAGAGCGTCGGCCTGCGGACTGAAAGGTTTAGATTCTATTCTAGGCAAGGGCATGTACCCTGGTTGTGGGCATGTACCCTGGTTGTGGGCATGTACCCTGGTTGTGGGCATGTACCCTGGTTGTGGGCATGTACCCTGGTTGTGGGCACATCCCCAGTGGGGGGGGGGGGGGTGCAGGAGACAGCTGATCAATGTTTCTCTCTCATCGATGTTTCTAACTCTATCCTTCTCTCTTCCTCTCTGTAAAAAATCAATAAAATATATTTTAAAAAAAAGTGAGAGAATCATCGATTCTAGGGAGTGACCAGCCGTGAAATGACCAGTACCTGTGAAGACCACACGTACTGCCTGCTCTCGACCTGGCCCAGTGTCTGTCAGGATGTTAACGCTGGGCCACACACATTCTGGGTTACCCTAGGCACAGGGTGCTCTCCTGTGCCCAGACCTCTGCCCTAGGCTCACAGACCCACACCCCAGGTGCGTGTCAGAGTCTGTGCCCACGCAGACTCATGCATATTTAGGGGAAGCTAGTCCCCAGGCAAGAGGGAAAACTGGGGCTGAGACTGCCGGCAGTGATGGGTTCCAAGATTCCTGAGGATCCTGGAATGAGCACGAGCAGCACTGAGTCTCCCCACTGCTCACGGCCACTCCGCGGTGAAGGCTAGCCAGCTCTGTGCGAACACTGGAGAGAGCCATTGCTGATCGGTGTCCCAGAGTCTCCGGATGCAGTGAACTAACGGAATGCCTGGCTTCCCTGGGAGAGAACAGCCGTCAGTGAAGTACAACTCACAACAATGGGAACAAATTCCAGCAAGAAACAGGATCTAATCCTGAAATACTGTTCTCTGAGCAGTGACTTCCCACCTTTTCATCGCACGCACCCACAAAGTGATTACGAAAAGCCTGCAGCACCCAAAAATATCTCCTTTCATTTCCTGATCCGACAACAACAAAAAGGTATCGTTTTTGATTCATGCACGTTGGAATGCCATTATTGTGTGGCAGACCACCAGTGCCCCTGGGCACAGCAGCTGAAAATCTCTGCTCTAAAGTGAATTTAAGAGATTGAGACAAAGGGGGTTCAAATACAAGAAAATATCTGAAAACCAGAAGCAAAAGGAAAAGAAAACTCTCACATACGCAACAGGACCTTAGTCCAATTTCTGGGCTCCTCCGACCAGTGAGGGTCAAGTCTTCACTTTGTCCTCTCCCCTTCAAAGTTCCAGGTAAATGTATATTTGGAATGTACTTTATAAAGAGAGGCAGAGGACTGGACCAATCAATAAGAGAGAAACACATCAGACCCATTCCGACTCAGGATGGTTTACATCTTATGGCTCCTGTGAGCAGCGTGACTATTTAAAAAACTATATATTTTATTGATTTTTTACAGAGAGGAAGGGAGAGTGATAGTTAGAAACATCGACCAACTGCCTCCTGCACGCCTCCTACTGGGGATGTGCCTGCAACCAAGGTACATGCCCTTGACCGGAATCAAACCTGGGACCCTTCAGTCTGCAGGTCAACGCTCTACCCACTGAGCCAAACCGGTTAGGGCGGGCAACATGACTTAAGTCATAACATTCGCAGTGATAAATACTGAAAGAGAAAAAGGGTTCCGTACCACAACCTCTTTCAAGACTACAAAACACACTGTCTTTCTCCCGCTCTCCTCATCCTCCAAGACAGAAAGCCTGGGAATGGACTTCCCTTCCCTTTCTCCGGCTTGTGCTTTGAGGACCGGCCGCCCTGAAGCTCAGATCTCAGGCGCTGGACAGGCATTCAGAACACCCCGGAACCAGAGGCGGAGCCCTCTCCGGGATTAGGATACAAAGCATTTTCTTAAACCGCTAACAAATCAAAATGCACCAAATCCTCTTTCCCTCTCTTTACTCTCCTTTATTTACATAATCGAAGCAATATGCTAATTAGAAGCGGGACAGGGCAATGCAAATTCGAGACACACAGACCTGGCAAGGGCCTTGTCCACGGAAACAAACTTATTTCACATCCAGATCAAACACAAAACTTTGCAAGTAGCCAGGCTTCTGGGAACAATTTAACCAAGAATTATTCCTAATGAGGAGAACTCGGACATGTGTGGATAAGATGTATAAAACAAAGAAAGAACCAAACTGCCTTATCACCCGCTAGTGGCAATGAAATCATGAGGAAAACACCTCACTGCTCTAATCCTCCGCCCCATAAAATCCACATCGACTGAAGCAGAAGCAATCTCCAGATGTAGAGGCGTTAACCCTCTCAAGAACTTCCAACACTTCAAGCATCAGACACCAACACAACGGGGCTCTTTGCCACATTTTCAACCCCGTCTTTCCACACTGCTCAGCCCCGTTAAAACGGGCATACAGAGCAAAGTGAGTAAACGAGTCCTGGGACCAGTGTACGGGAAATGACCTATGAGAGGAGGGGCGGATTCTAGTTAACATTTGACAATTTGAAAATAAAATCCCGAGTGTTCAGCAGCAGAGGGACCCCGGGGGCCGGGCGTCGGCTGGTCAGTGCAGCCCCGAGGCGGGCTACCCACGGGCCCTCGTCTGTGGACTAACCGTGGCCCAGCTCCGTCTGGGCGTAGGTGCCAATTATCTGGAGTCCTTTGGCGGAAAGCAGCCATTTCTCTTTCTGAGCAGCGGTGCCCTGATTCAGCAAGGTGGGGACAAACATGGAGAAATTGAGGCCCACGGGTTCCACAAAATTGACCATATGTAGTCTACAGGAGAGAAAAGAAACGCACCTCAGCCTTTCTGGAAACCGCCGCCGCCGCCCAGCCCGCCTGCCGGCCCCGGAGGCAGCCAGAGCCCGCAGCCCCTTCCTGTGAGGCTGAGGGCAAACTGCCGCTCACCACCCACGGCCCCCGGCAGAACCCAGTGGTGTCTTTTCTGTCCCCTCTCATTGCAGATCAGATTCCGCTTTAATTCTACACTTAATCCAGGGAGCCAATCTAGCATCGTTTTAGCCTAAAAACATCTTGTTTTTTATTTTGTTGGTTTGATTGGTTGAATTTTTTTGGTGTGTCTTTATTTTTGCTTTATTTCAGGTTTTACTTATATGAAAAATCAAAAGAAGCCCATACAACACTTATTTGTAGATCTGTTAACAAAAAGTCTTAAAGAATGTAGCAAGGAGACTTGGCTTGAGGTGGCGATCACACAATACAATGTGCAGATGGTGTTATAACTCCACACACCTGACACCTAAGCCAGTGTAATCTTATTAACCAAGGTCACCCCATAAAATTCAATTAAAAAAAACACACACACACTAAAAAAAAGTGTAAGTCAGGGAAGTGAACACCAACGGGATATTTGATGCGTTAATTAATTTCTGGTAATGTTTTCTGCATGCCAACTATTGTGACTATGTTAAAGAGAGAATTCTCTGAGAGATGCATAGTGACACTGCAGATGAGAGAAGGATGTAAACCACCTTCCCTAGATAACGGAGCAACACCGGGCTGGGAAGTAGCTCTATGTTCGGGGCGGGGCTGGCTAAGGCCTTCAGTTCACAGATGGTCTAGAAGGTACTGGGAGCCTGTTCAAACTATGGCCAGTGGTCTCTGAAAATTACTCTGGACTCAAGGAATCCTCGCCATAATACAATTCAGTCTCCCACTGTTTTCTCAGAGAACAGAAGCTGTGAAATAATCAGAATACAAACTACACAGCCAGCCTTGGCTACAGTGCATGATGGGTGTTATAGGGGCCGAGTTTGTCCATCTGTCTGTCTAAGAAGCTGAAGTTCAAAATAAACAGCTGATGCTCATGACTTCTCAAGGGCTGGAGAGGAGGGGTGTCCCGCCAGGGTCCCATCTGTACGGGCAGAGCGTGAATGGGACAGGAGGGTAGCTGCCCTTTTCACTTCTGCAGAGGCCCGGAATCACCCCACCATCTTTCGGGGGAAGATCACCCTCCAGAGATGCTGGGACAGACACACACCCAGTAACACCCGGACTAGCCATCACCCACGGTCTCTGGTTTTTATATCGAGACTGTGGAGAGAGGGGACGGGAGTGTGAACAGAAGAGGGGACTGCACTTCACTGCAGGAAGTAACACACCTCACACCTCACCGACACAGGAGCCAAAGTCAATACGCAGCTGAGTGTGGAAGTCATTGTCAAACGCAGGGCGAGACTCAGAGCACTCCCTAACGAGTGTCTTACCAAACGAGGAAATGAGATTTCTGAGAAATACAAGCAGTCACTCAGGTGCTAGAAATGGTGCCAAAAAAAACAAAAATGACACTCCCATTTTCAAGAGGGAACTGAGGTTGTGGGTTTATAAAATGACAATGGCACACACAAAATTCTAGGGAACTGAGAAGGGAAAACGTGACTCAAAATAAAGACTGCATGATATTTATGTTCTTAATAACATACTGAGCTGTGTGGGGTTTTTTTGTTTTGTTTTGTTCTGTTTTTGGAGGCCCCTTGAAAATCAACTTAATGCTCAACTGACGTGGCTCAGTGGTTGAGTGTCAACCTATGAACCAGGAGGTCAGTGGTTCGATTCCCAGTCAGGGCACAGGCCTGGGTTGCAGGCTTGGTCCCCAGGAAGCAGCTGATCAATGATTCTCTCTCATCATTGATGTTTCTCTCTCTCCCTCTCCCTTCCTCTCTGAAATCAATTTTTAAAAAAAGTTTAAAAAGAGGAAGAAAATCAACTTAAGAACAAAAATCTGAGTACTTGTTTTTTTAATCCTCACCCAGGGATATTTTTCCTATTGATTTATTTATTTGTTTTTAGAGAGAGAATGGAGGGGAAGTAGGGGTGTGGGAGAGAAAGAGAAACATTGATGCGAGAGACACATCGACTGGTTGCCAGGATCAAATCTGCAACCGAAGTATGTGCTCTTGACTAGGAATCGAACCTAGGACCCTTCAGTCCAAAGGCTGACAGCTCTAACCACTGAGAAAAACAGTTAGGGCTGAGCACTTGTTTTCAAGTTATGTCCATCTCTCCTGAAGATGCTCCAGGGAACCGGCTTTGAAAGCCTAAGGGCCCCGCCAGGTAGCTCAGTGGGTTAGAGCTGGGTCAGAGCGGCCCTGCCCCGTCAGGTGAGGTTCCACCCCTGGTCAGGGGACAGACAGCGACCAATGAGACATAAACAAGTGCAGCAACGAATCGATGTTCCTCTCTCTCAAAACCCATAAAAAAGAAATAAAAACCTAGAAAAGAAAACAAAATTCATGGCTGATTCTCATTAGAATTTTAAATTACTCTTAAGAAGGTTTCGTTTTTTCATAGCAAATAGTCTAGTTAACAGACAAAATTACAGGAGAGGAGATTAGAAAAACAGCTTTTATATCCCCCCAACAGCAAGGTCTTAGTTCCCCAAAGACTGAAGAATTCTGTTGTTGCTCAAGTTGAGAAATTTCGAAGTTGTTTTACTAATATTCAGTCACCTTCAAAAGGGGGTTATATTTTGATAGAAGTGGATGTAAAAGACCAGTATACGCCCAAAATCCCCAGAGAGAGAAATATTCTAGTTTTCCATCAATGCTAGCACACCCCACTCCAATGGTAGCATTTAAGAAATCTGATGGACTTCACAATTGAAGCTGTCGGAGTTACCCGTCTCAGTTATGTAAGACATGGGTATCAGTTACATTCAAAGGAGGCTTAAGACTTGGCACTCAATACTTGCCAAGATTACTTTTCAATCCCCTTCGCTAACATATTGATCTCCCTGTCTTATCCTCCGGATATTGGAAGAATGTCAAAGGGCATGTTAAAGTTTGTCCTTTAATCCCCAAATAGCAAGGTCTACGTCATGAAAAATAATACCAAACTGCGCCCTAACTGGTTTGGCTCAGTGGATAGAGTGTCGGCCTGCGGACTGAAGGGTCCCAGGTTCGATTCTGGTCAAGGGCATGTATCTTGGTTGCAGGCACATTCCCAGTGGGGAGTGTGCAGGAGGCAGCTGATTAATGTTTCTCTCTCATCGATGTTTCTAACTCTCTATCCCTCTCCCTTTCCCTCTGTAAAAAACCAAGAAAATATATTTTAAAAAATAATAATAGCCGGGACCAGTGTGGCTCAGTGGATAGAGCATCGGCCTGCGAACTGAAAGGTCCTGGGTTCGATTCCAGTCAAGGGCATAATAATAACATCAAACTGCCTGCTGTCCACTAATCTTTAACCCACATGAAGGACTTTGTCCTATTTCCTCATGACTTCACTTGATTACCATCACAGATGATGAAATCGTCTAACCAACTCCTAACTACATTGCATCAACCATTTAAAAGCAAAACAAAATAAACCTCTCTTTATGTGTTATCTTAAGGAATAATAAAAACCTTAAAAATATTACCCACGTTGGGTAATTCAGAAACATGGTCTTCCAGGGAGTTGCTCTACCTCAGTGGTTTTCAGCAGGTATGTGGCAAGACGCGCACTGGTGTGTCACAAGAGTTTTTAAAACATGCGATACCAGCTCTGGTCAGGTAGCACAGCTGGTTAGAGCAGTGTCCTGACATGCCAAGATCTGGGGTTTGATCTCCAGTCGGGGCACATATAAAACTCACCAATAAATGCATAAATAAGTGGGACAAATCAATGTTTCTCTCCCTCCCCCTAAAATCAATTAAAAAAATTAAAGGAAAATTTAAGAGTCTCTAAAAAAACAATAACAACAACATATAACATCTGCCAAAACTGGTTTGGCTCAGTGATAGAGCGTCGGTCTGCGGACTGAAAGGTCCCAGATTCGATTCCGGTCAAGGGCATGTACACTGGTTGCAGGCACATCCCCAGTACGGGGTGTGCAAGAGGCAGCTGGTCAATGTTTCTCTCTCATCGACATTTCTAGCTCTCTCTCTCTCTCCCTTCCTCCTCTCTGTAAAATATCAATAAAATATATTTAAAAAAACAACAACAAACAAACATATAATATCTGACCATTTAGTCAGGGGCACTGACCTTTTTTAACTTGCCAAATAAAAAAAATGACAACAGCCAACACAAGTCATCTGGCGTAAATGAATCAAAAATTATACCTTTTCTTTTTGTCAGATTAGCAAAAAATATAACGTTTTTTTGGTGTGCCACAGGATTTTAATAACGAGTTAATGTGTGACATGAGAGGAAAAGGGTTGAAAATCACTGCTCCACCTCAGTATCTCCCCAGCTACTAACTTTAAAAATAAAAAAGAGCATTTGGAAGTAAGTACTCTTAATTTGGGCTAACAAAGGAAATTGTATTTTTATAACAGAAACGGAAAGAAATTTTGAGGGTAGTGCTAAGGGCCACAGTAAATTATTTTATGTCGACAAAAATAGTGAGGTTAATAAATTAGATACCAGCCTGGTCAGCGAGGCTCAGTGGTTGAGTATCAACCTATGAACCAGGGAGGTCGTGGTTCGATTCCAGGTCAGGGCACATACCCTAGTTGCAGGCTTGATCCCCAGTGGTGGGGAAGGAGGTATGCAGGAGGCAGCCGATCAATAAGTCTCTCTCATCATTGATGTTTCTATCTCTCCCTTCGACTCTTAAAAAATAAAAATTAGAAAAAAATTAGATTCCAAATGAACTACAGGCAGTATTATGGGAGAAATGACTATCTATATATATAAAAGGCTAATAAAGTGTCCCCTTGGGAGTTGGACCAGGAGTTTGATCACTCTCTATGACATGCGCTGACCACCAGGGGGCGGTGTGGGATGAAGGAAGGCCCCCCCCCAGCTAGCAGCCAGAAGGTGCTGATTGGCCCTAATCGCAGGCCAGACCTAGGTACTCTACCTGCATGCATTTCGTGCACCAGGCCTCTAGATACCATATAAAGGCAAAACTTGTAACATGTTTCATTTTTTTTTGGCTTTTGAATATACGCTACTCATCATATTTCATCTTTATTGATGAAAATAGTGAAGTTCTTCTAAAATATAGAAACCTAAAAGAGGAAATGCCCAGGAGGAAATGAGAAGTGGAAGGGGTGCTACAGGCCAAAGGGAATCTTGTATTAATTAGATCATGTAATTATAGACTGTTTGCTTAAAGGCAAAGACAAAGAGCATTTTTTTCCAATTAAAAATTAAAAACAAAAAACAAACACATACACACACAAAAACAAAACAAAACAAAACACGGATTGTCTTTTTTTTCCAATTAAAAAAACAAACAAACACGGAAAAAAGGAAGGTAATCTGCTCAGCACTGGACCTCGGAGGCCTCATATGCACCAGAGAACCAGTTAACACTGCCACCAGACTCAACAATGCTGGGTTCTTAGGGTGCTTTCTATTCATTCTGAAGTTGGACTGAAGTTCTTCATCCATCCCCCGTTATCCATTATTTAAAACTCAAGATCTACACTACCATAGAAAAACACAATGTCATTGCTATGAAATATTTACTGATGTTTGGTCTGGCTACGGAAAATTCCCTCAGAATCCAGCACCTACAGGGAGCAAGCCTCCTTCCCACAGGGCCGAGGCATTTTGAATGGGAATCACTCAAACGGAGCCTCTGGGCGGCAAGAATCTGTGCGATTCTTGAGAATGAAAACTGCAGGGTCATCAATGCCTTATCAGCATTCCACAATGTCATTCTTTCCAAAGGCTTCGGTACAAAGGTCAGCATTCCCTTCCACACACACAGCTCTGCAGGGGCGTGCAAACAGGCCCGTCGGGTCTTCCAGCGCCAAGGCCGGATGAGCAAGCACCCACGGACCGCGGATTTAAAGTCTGGGTTTTGGTCACCAGCGAACACGGGATCTGCGCTAAGGCATACCTACTTTTTAAACCACATGATTTCATCAGGGTCTGAGATGCCAAACTCCCTGATCTTCTTCACCAAGGTGGCACTCTTCCTCACAGCCACCTCGTAGCGCTGGCTGCGCGTGAGGAAGTTCAAGTCCTCGTGCTTGAAGTCTGGGTCGTTGAGAATCAGGTTCTCTGGAAGGAAGTAAAGGGCATCAAGACGAAGACAGACATTCTGGGCTCCGTTACACCGCCCTGAATCACAGCTGGGCTCAGAGTCCCGGCCCCGGTCCCCTCTGCGGATGGGCGATCCCTCCACCTCCCAACCCCCCCCCCCCCCCCGCCACAGGCCGCCCCAGAAATGGGGGTCCCGGCTCCCCTAAAGCTGGGCCAGAGCCTATGTCCTAAGGAGCACCCCCAGACGGTATCGAGGGAGGCCAGGCCCGCAGCCCTCACCGATCTCTCGGCGTCGCCGGGTGTTCTCCGGGCTGCCGTCCAGGATGTGCGTGAGCAGCTCGGGGTTGAAGCTGGCGGAGGCCCGCTCCCGGCGCAGGTCCTGGTTCATGGTGACAGCCATCGGAAGCAGCGGAGGCCGAGGCGGCGTCGACTAAGGTTGTCAGACTGTCCGGCGCGGGCCGTGCCCAGGAGCTGCCCCGGGACCGCGCAAGGCCCCGCCCCCGGCCCGCCCCGGCCCGCCCCTCCGCTTCCCGCGGCTGCCGGGCGTGCGAGCGGCCTTAGCCGAGGCGGCGGCGGCGCCGGAGGGGCTCCTTCACTCAGGCCGGCCCCCGGGAAGGCGAATCCCCACCTCTCGGCCCGGGGACCCCCTGACCCGACCCCCCCAGACCCGGGGAAGACACCCCGGAAGCTGCTCAAGCAATTGTCCGGAGGGAGGGGGACGTGCGGCGCGCTCAGTACCGCCCCTGGCCGCGCGATCACGCGGGGCGGAAACAGGAAGCAAAAGACGGCCCGGACGCCCAAACAGGTTGGCTGGAGGCTTGGGAAGGGGCGGGACAACGAGGTAAAGGCGGATTGCGCCTGCGCCTTGGGACTTGGCCGCCCTGCCGGCTTCCGGGTCCACGCGCAGAGGCCTCCCGGGGAAAGAGCCGGGAAGGAGACTCAAGGTCCCGGGGGTGGGGAAGCTGTGGGCTTCGCGCAGTTGCTAAGGGAGGTCGCAGGGCTCCCCTGAGGCCGCCCAGATTGGGTCGGAAAAGGACGGGGACAGAAGTAGCGCCGGGGAGAGGCTCTGGTTGTCCTTTAAGATCGCGGCATCTTGGCTGCCAGGGGCGCAGGCGCTGGGAACTGGGTTTGGGCTGGTGAGCTCGGGCTTGGAATGAGACCGAGCTAGCCCTGCACTTAGAGATCTTGGAATCCACCTGATTGTTTTCACAATTACCATCGTCGTCATGCAGGTTGTAAATGCACACGTTTTTTAAAGACCTAGAACAGGAGGGTTTGGAACGAAAAGCAAAGGTCAGTCTCAGAAGCAGCCACTTTTCATCAGTTGTGCTCTTAGTTCTGGTTCCTAAAAAGCTAATAGGCAAAACACTTAGATGCTGTTTATGCGTTCGTTTTCGTTAGCCTTTGGCTTAATGCCATGATAATGAAGATATAAAGCACACTACACCATCCCCTTTATATCTCCCTAATTTACCTTTATAATGTCATCAACATCCTTAATCCTGTTTTTAAAAATGTAAGAAATGGCCAAACCTGTAGAGAATTTTTATGAGTCTATTGAAGCCAAATTGATGCCATTTTGGGGGAAGCAAGGTCTCAAATGCTCCGGAGAATAACAGTTTTGCAGCTTTTATGTATTTGGAATGAAAGGAGAAGATGTAAGGAAGATTACATGGAAGTGGGGGGGAAAGCAAGGGGAGATTGGAATACAGGACCGTTATCAACGTTATGTGCTCTCTTGAGGGTGACTTTGCTTATTTCAAAGCTGAGTTAACTTAGCTGCACAGGGACAGAGGACAGGGCTGGCTTAAAACCTTCTACTACAGAAGTTACAGGCGTGGGAAGTCATTGCCCACCATGATGACCTGCCCATTTAGGGATTTATGATCAGATCACCCTGTGAAGTTAACTTTCCTTAGAACCTTTTTTTTTTTTTTTTTCTGTCCACAAAACTAAATTTAATTCTCTGTTCCTTCCAGCACTGTGAATAGAGTACGATGAGTGAATCATTCACCTCCAACACAAAGTGTGAGGAAGTACCAAAAAATTAAGAGGAACGGTGTTTTAATAGGACATTTTTAAAAATCAAAATTAATGCAAGAAAATCCACAATGAACAAAATAGCAGAATTTTACATAAACACAGCTTCATGACTACTGATCGTTTTGTCTCAAGCGCTGGTATTTTGGGGGAAGGCACTATTTCTGATGTTGTTTTTAATGTTTAATGTTCCCAGGCATTAAAATATTTATCTTGGCTGTTATCCTCTTGGCAAAAACTGGCTCAGCAGATCACTAACACAACAAAGCCACGTTTATTGCTTCCTCGGGCAAGGAGTGTGCTCCTGGGCAAAACCTGGGCAGTGTCTCCGAGAGGAGGAGGTAAGGCCGGGGCTTTCTGAGAACTGAAAGTTTGGTTTAAGGCCAGTTTTGAGTCTTGATTAGGATTGGAGAAGCCCATAGAAGTGTGTGCCCCCAGAGAATGGGCGTACAACAGTCCGAACTTGGGGGAAACAGTAAGGGGAGGGAATTCAAAGCGTTGTAGTGTTCCCACATCTGACAAAGGACGCCTCTAGAAGTCAAATTATGGAGTCATTTATGAAAGGCTGGCGGCATACGAGGGGCTAAAGCTCAAATCTCGCAGCCCCGAACAGCTTGCCACATCCGGCTTATATGGGCAGACTATCGCAAAGGTGTCGACTACATCTCTGGGTCTGGGATGAGGAACCTGTTTCGTGAAAAGCTTTTACAGAAGCGAAATTGAGCAAATTAGTTACCTAAAGTATCTACGCATCACTGAATCAGCAGAAACACATTCTCTGGGATCACTGGGGCAATTCAGAATAACTGTGCTGTCCAGATTCTGGGACCACTGAGTCAACAGGAATGCATTGTCTGTAGCTGCTGAAGCGATTTAGGATAATTTGTGCTCTTCTGATTCCAGGACCACTGAGTCAACCGAAACTCAGTTATCTGTAGCTTCTGAGACAATTTAGGATAATTGGGTCCCAGAAGAATGTGCTTGGATAACCAGTGAGATCACAATCAATGGGACATTCAAACCATCATCCATGGAGTATTGGGACAGCATACATACGTTCAGAAAATCAAAATAACGTTCTATTGTTTTAGCAAACAAGTACAGAACCCAAACAGCAGTTTCTACCTGAGGTGATTGCTTCCACACTTCAAAGGAATCTCAGCGGGCAAACTGGCTGTTGATACTCAAACCATTTGCCGGGCCTGGGCGGTGGAGGAAGAGCAAAGAAATGCCAGTGAGGACAGCAGAGCATAGTCACTTTCATGTAGGCAGTCAGGCGTGGTTGGGTTCTCTGTATCCCAGCTCAGTGCGGGGGTAGATGGTTTTGGAGTTCACTCTCTTCTGCATCCATTCAATGAATATTGAGCCCTAACCGGTGTGGCTCAGTGGATAGAGCGTCAGTCTGCCCTCCCCATCCCCCACCACACACACACACACACACACACACACACGCTTCCCACACACCTTGCCCTGTGCCCTCTTCCATGAACCTGTTGCCGAGTTATCTCCTTTCATAACAAACATCCACAGGCAAGGTTCTTGTCTTCAAGAAACAAAGCCAAAGCCGATAAAAGTTCTGATGAACTTGATTACAGGCCTTCCTTCTCCGACTTTCAGCCCGACCCCACAAATCTTGGCAATTACTTCAGGAGAGATGGAAGAAGTGGTCAGATGGGTTCACCAGACTTACCAGTCCTAAAAAAATATGATTTCTCTTGTTCCTGCCAGGGATTTTTTCTCTCCCAGAAATGTCTTGGGAACGAAAAGGGCCGGGCACCCCTGCTCAGACTCCTAGGGGGCTTAGTTGAAATCCAGCTGAGGGGAAGAGAAGCCCATCCTGATAGATCTTGGAAACGCTATGGAAAGTGTGATATGTGGCTGGTGATGTATGCAGCCAGCTGTGCTTGTCTTAGTAAATGCATAGCAATTTCTGTTTGAAAAGGAAAAGCTGAGATTAAGTGTGTAAGTGTGTGCCCCCAAAGAATCAATTCTGCCGTGTGCTGCCTTTAAAACTAAAATAAACGTGATGGCGTTGTGACTGGCAGCTTAGCCTACAATAGACATGGCTGTGAGAGGAGAAAAGTGACCTGGTCTCCTCGGTCCAGGTGTCGTGTGTGTTTTCATACTGTGATTGGCAGATGTCAGATTGCCTCCTGCCCCTTGACAGACCCCATCCAGCCCAGTCCGGGAAGAAGGAAGGGAATGGGTTGCACAGGGGTTGGAGTAGGAACAAGATTTCTCCATGTAGAGCTTTTGTACGTTTTTTGTATGTTGTTTTTTCCAAAATAAGTGAATGTGTAACCTATCAAAAAGATTTATTTTATTTTAACCACCATGCGCTGGTTGTGGCTCTCAGGCATCCGTTAATCCCGCCTTGTGCTATGCTTGGTTTGTCAGGAATCTTCAAAAACCCACCCCCGCGCCTCGGTGACAGGCGCCATGAATCTGCCGAAGCCGGGGACCTACTACTTCCCCTGGGAGCTCAGCCAGGCTCCCGACGGGGTCGCCCTGCGGACGTTTGGCAGGTGAGAGGCTGGTTTTTCCACAAGGTGGGGGGATGTTTAAGTGGCTGCCTCCCCCAAAAACACACAATTAAAATAGTCATCATTCTGTCTGATTAAAAATGATTAAAAACTTAATATGCATTCATTGTAAAAAAAAAAATGTAGACAATTTATAAAAGTGTGAAGAAAGCAATCAAGCATCACCTGTGATCCTACTGTCTGAACAACCACTGCTCATGTTTTTGTGTTTACACACTTTTTCATGTGTGTGCGTGCGTGTATGTATGTATATGTGGGTGGGTGTGTATATACACTATATTTACATGTGTACACACATGTATACTACGAGTCAGTTATTTTATTGCCATGTAACCAATTACCCCCAAATTTAGTGGCTTAAAAGGAGAGTGAAAGCTTATGATCTCTGTCCTGGCCCATGTGGCTCAAGCAGCATTTCATGTACCAAAGGGTCTCAGGCAGCCACCCAGGTTTCGGGTTCAATCTCTGGTCGGGGCACATAAGGAAGGGAACCGACTCATGGATGTATCTCTCTCTCTCTCTCTCATTGATGTTTCTCTTTCTCTCTCCCTCTCCCTTCTTTCTCTTAAAGAAAACACCACAGCCTGGCCAGTTTGGCTCAGTGGATAGAGCATAGGCCTGCGGACCAAAGGGTCCGGGTTCGATTCTGGTCAGGGGAACTTACCTGAGTGGCAGGCTCCTCCCTGGACGAGGCCCTGGTCAGGACTCATGCGGGAGGCAACCAGTCCATGTGTTTCTCTCACATCGATGTTTCTCTCTGTCTTCTCCTTCTCTCAAAACAAAAACAAAAAGGAACAAAACAACACACCACAATCATACAAAACAAAAGCTTATGTTTTATAGTTTCGGTGGGTCAGGAACTTGGGAGTAGCTGGGCCAACACCTGAAGGCTGGATGGGACCTGGAGGATCTGCTTCCCGGTGACTGGGTCACACGTTTGGCGATAAGACTCAGGGAACATTGGGGTGATAGACATGTACTAAACCTTGACTGGGTTGGTGGTGACACCAGTGTGTGTTTTTGTCAAGACTCGTTGGACAAGTGTTTTTTGATGCAGGTAATTTATACCTCAACAGTTTTGTTGCTGCCATTTTTATTTTGTCTGATCAAAGTACGGCTGGCCGTTTTCCCTCCCAAAACCTGTTCAGCTCCAAGCTCTGTGGCGGTTGTGTCCGAGGAGAGAAACGATCGCACTTTCCCCGCCTTCCAGGTTGAGCCTCTACGACGTGACCGAGTCCCGAGCGACGCTGACAGCTCAGCAGGGCTCGGAGCAGCACCAGGTCCTGGTGTGCACCAAGCTGGTGGAGCCGTTCCAGGCCCAGGCGGGCTCCCTCTACCTGGTCCTCGGGGAGCTGGAGCAGCAGGAGGGTAAGCGGCCTCATGCACGCCTTTGCACTTGGGGTCCTGAGCGGTGACTCGGTTGGCACTGGGCCTGGTTTCTGACCCAGCAGTGTCCCTCATGGGGGATAACACTCCCAAATCACCCCACAGTGCAAGGGCTCATGGGAAACGTGATTGGGCGCAGAGCCGATCTGCCGCAGGGCACTGAGTGGAGAGATACCATTCATTTCGGAAGGCCGTGTGCTTAACTCTTCCGAATCTGCCCACCAGCCCTTCTCCTGAGTCCTCTTATTGCCAAGTTCATAGGTGAGAAAACCAGGGCTCAGAGAGGGTGGGGCTAGACTAACCATCCCAAAGTCAGGGTAAGAGAAATAGGACAGCCCTAGCTGGTGTGGCTCAGTGGATAGAGTGTCAGCCTGTGGACTGAAGGGTCCTGGGTTCGATTCTGGTCAAGGGCACAGTCCTGGGTTGTGGGTTTGATCCCCAGTAAGGGGTGCGCAGGAGGCAGCCGATCAATGATTCTCTCTTATCATTGATGTTCCTCTCTCTTCCTCTTTTTTTCTCTCCCTCCCTCCTTCCCTCCCCCTCTCCCTTTCTCTCTGAAATCAATAAAAAATATTTTTTTTTTTTAAAAGAGAGAAGTAGGACACGGGCGGAATAGAAGCAGCCGGAAAGGGCCTTGGCTTCCAGAGGTGAAGGTTGCTCTTTAAAGCTCAGGCGCTCCATCCTCTGCCGCCCATGTGGCTGCCCCAGGGCCATTTTCCTTCACATGTTGGATGCCATACGATGGTGGGCCTGGTTATTTTGGCTTCACATTATATCACAAGTCTTCACATATTCCTGGGTATAGTGTTTAATGGCCATATATTTTATAGATTAGAAGTGTGACCTAAATTCGCATGACCATTGGACATTCATGTTGTTTTAATTCTTTGCTCTTATAAGTACACTGTACACCGGTTATTGGTTAGACCAAGTCGGGTACATTTGCTCGGTAGAATATAATGCAGGCATCTACGGTGATGTAGCCCTGGTGTGTTTTAGAGCAAGCATAGGACATGGTCTCATTTGACCCACAAATACCTCAGTACGTCTCTCTCCCACCACCAGTCACACCCAACAAAAACAATAGCCATTCTCCATATACGTAATCTCATACCGCATCCATGTTCACGTGTCGTGTGTGGGGCCCCCCCCCCCCCCGAAGTTCATGCAGTGCGCTCGGATCACACACACACACACACACCCCCAAGTATCTGTTATCTCTACAGCTCTGTCCTCTGCTTTCCTTTCTTTTTGTGAAAATAATGCCGCTTCCTGGAGAACCAGCCTCTGGTGTGGAATCGGGAGCCTGGGCCTGGCTGGCTGTTTGCTCCTGGTAGCCTTACTCACCTGTGGCCTCCTTCCCTTGCTGTCATCGGCCTTTCTCTGTTTGGATTGTACCTCAGGGAAACCACATGACTGTGAGGGAATGATCTTTGGGGCCAGCGCGGTGACTAACTGCAGGAGAAAGCACTGCCTCTCCGGAAGCCCCGGTGAGACAGTGAATCTGGCCCGAGCCTGCCTCCAGGTGCCAGTCTCCTCAGGTGAAAGCACCTGGGGAATGTGGTAGCGCAGGGGCCAGGCCGCACCTGGGCCTGCCGTCCATCCGCCATTAACGAGGCAGAGCGAGCAATCGATTGCTCAGAAGGCACACAGCCCCCCTCCGAAGTGCCCACAGGGAGGAGCTGAGCCCGGACTGTCGGCCCTCACTCGACAGCAGTCTTCCCAGCCTGTCGCTAGTTTACTGAGTTACAACCTGTGTTTTTCTTCCCTTGTTTTTAAAGAATTTAAATGAAATATATATATGAGAGAGAAACATTGAATTGTTCCTCTTATGCATTCATTGGTTGATTTTTTTTAAAGTATTTTAAACATTTTTAATATATTTTATTGATTTTTTACGGAGAGGAAGGAAGAGAAATAGAGAGCTAGAAATGTCCAATGAGAGAGAAACATCGACCAGCTGCCTCTTGCACACCCCCCACTGGGGATGTGCCCACAACCAAGGTACATGCCTTTGACCGGAATCGAACCTGGGACCTTTCAGTCCGCAGACCAACGCTCTACCACTGAGCCAAGCCGGTTTCGGCTCATTGGTTGATTCTTGCATGTGCCCTGACCAGGGATTGAACCCACAACCTTGGTGTACCTGGATGATGTTCTGACCAGCTGAGCTGCCTGGCCAGGGCCTTTTTCTTAAATACCATTCCCCAAGTTCCCAAGTCATCTGCAGCTGAGGCAGGAAAGAAACCTGAGGAGGAGGAGGAGGAGGCAGAGGCAGAGGCAGAGTGCAGGCCGAGTGGCTGAGCATGGAAGCGGCCGCCCCACCCCCAGCTGGGCAGAGGGGGCGCGGCGTGGCTGACCCCGGCCAGGTCCGAAGTCCTGAGGGGACACAAAGGTCACCAGGCACCAGTCGTGCCCCGTGACCAGGTGGGCGGTTCTGAAGACAGACGAGAGGCTGCCAAAGTCACCTGTCCGACATGTTTACACCGAGAGCTTGCAGAGGCGATAGGACAGGTTTCGAAACTCACTGGCTGTGTCATCCTCGCTGGGCACCATCCAGAGGCCCGCGAGGCTTCCTGTCCCGTTCAGGCGCTAAGGGATTGGGCGCAGCCTCGCCCCGCTCAGCTCCAGGTCCCTAATAGAATCTGCCCTTCTGTCCGGTCCTCCAGCACCCGCCTGGCTCCTGGCTGGTTCCCGGGCCGTGTTCCCCACCCCCCCTCCCACAGGGAGGGCTGCTCAGCGCCCCCACCCCACGCCCTGCAGAGGCGGGCCCCATCCTGCTGGCTCCCCGGGTACCAGTTCTGCCTCCCTGTGACCTGACACCCACGGCTCCTCCCAGCCTGGCGCCACCTCTGCCACCTGAAACAGCTCGTCCCCCTCCGTATCTCCCGTCCGCCCCGGGACTGTGGACTCCTCCCTTCCTTCCATCTTCTCTCTCCAGCTCGCTCTCCTCCCACCGCACCTCACTCATTGCAGCTCCGTTCCTGGCAGACCTCCCGCCTGGTACAGCCCGCCTGGTACAACCCAGGCCTCCACCCTCTCCGTCCCACCTGCTGTGGACGGGCAAGTCACGCAGCCGGGGGTTCCCAGCACAATGATTTCGGGGTCCCTCCTCTCATGGGGCCCTCCACGCTGCCTACAGTCCTCCCACGTCCCCCTCAGTCCCTGCCCCTCAACCCACACGGCTGTGTCAGGCGGGCAGTGACGCAAGACACCAAGTCCATCACCTCCCCTGCCCTTTCGGCAAACCCCTCACCTCCTACGTCCCCGGAGTCACTGGGCCGCAGCAGCCGCCGTCCCGAGCACAGGTGTCCACACCGTCCGAGGCGCCTCCCCTCCGGGCTGGGCCACAAGGCGCCCGGCCGAGGCGCTGCCCTGCCCGTGGTCCCGGCCTGCCCTCCCAGCCAGCCTTCGCCTGCGCCCGCAGGTGCTTCCCGCCCGGCGCTCAGAGCCCCGCAGCCGCCTCCACGTTAAAGAAATGGTCCTAATTGGCAGTGATGCCGGGAGGGCCTGGGCGGCCGAGGGAGGCCTCAGCCCACCCGTCCTCGTCAGGGCCCGAGAAGGAACTCAAGGCAGGACAGAGGTTTAGCGAAGCCGTCAGCTTGGTGAAGCCACAGCGCCCACCGAGAAGGCAGCAGGCGGCCTCGGAGAACAGCCGTGCCTCTGGGGTCTGGGAGGAAGGCCTCTGTTAAGCGTGGGCAAGGGGCAGAGCGTGGCCCTCTGCTTCTGACAGTTGTGGGGCCACTGCCTGTGCCCCTGGGCCTTGTCCCTCCTTTCCAGACATCAATTCCTTCTTTTTTCTTCCTCTCAGTGACAGGAAATGGAGGAGGGGGAGGCGGTGGGACAGGTGGCAGTGGAGGTCGTGTCTGTAATGGTCCAGCCGAGAAGGGGAGGGCAGAGCTTGAAGCCTTTGTGCCCTGCTCTGACTTCCCTGCCTCAGTAATAATAATAATAACAACAACAACAACGTCACTGCCACCTGCCTAGCTGAGACCCTCTTTCCCTTCACAGTCCAACTTCCTGAAGGAAGGTCTGACCTCCATACGCCCCTCCTTCATCTCCTGCTCACACCTCAGTCCCTCCTCCTTGCTCTGAGAATCATTGATTGGCTGTCTCCTGAACGCCCCCTACTGGGGGCTCGAGCCCACAACCCGGGCAAGTGCCCTTGACTGGAATTGAACCCAGGACCCTTCAGTCCAAAGGCTGTCGCTCTATCCACTGAGCCAAACCAGGTAGGGCTAGGATCCTATTTTGAGATTTAACATTTTTATTTATTGATCTTACAGAGGAAGAGAGGGAGGGGAGAGAGAATTCGTTGTTCCACTTATCCATGCTCTCACTGGTGGATTCTTGTAAGCGCCGGGAGCCCTGACTGGGGATGGAACCCACCACCGTGGCCTATTGCGACGACACTTGTCAACTGAGCTAGCTGGCCAGGACCCTGTTGGGAGATTTTAACTGAATCAGACTGATTGTCCTTCTCTCCCCGTGTCGCCCCGAACATACGCAGCTGCTCTGGGAAGCGATGTAGGGCCACGTGTGTCACCAGAAAGGCCTAGGCCTGTCCAGAATTCAGGCAGGCGACCTGAATTCGTGTCCAAACAAGTTCACCCGGGCCCGGCACTCTGCCTTCTGCCCGGGCTGTGCCCAGTCAGTCAGGGGGCCTGGCGGGAGGAAGGCTAGCATAGATGTTGCCTAACCCAGAGCCTCTCTGAACCGCATCCAAGGAAGCAGGAGTGTTCTAGAACACTGAGCATGCTCACTGATCGGCGGGGAGCAGCGAGGCCTTGAGGGAAAGAAATGAGAGCGAAGGAGCAGGCCGCCCCAGAGGCCGCTGCTGCCGCCTGAGCAGTGATCAGCCTTCCTGCCGGGCCCCCAGGATCTGCCAGAAGCCCCTCCCCGCCCAGGGTGGGTGGCTCACCCCTGTAAGATCTCCCCTCTTTGGGTTTCCTGCATTCGGGGTGCTCGTTGCCCTGATTTCCAATGCCAGGCGGTGCCAGGATGCCCTCCCCGGGTGCAGATGGAACTGGGATGGCAGGAGACCCCTCCTCAGGACTAAGATGACCAGGGAGGGGCCGGGCAGGCGGCGGGAAGGGGGAGGCCGGGGCGGACCGCGGGCTGAGCGTGTGCCCCCGCAGGCCGCCCCGTGGTGCGGGCCCGCGTGCTGACGTGCGTGGAGGGGCTGCGCCCCGCGCTGCTGGAGCGGGCCGTCGGGGAGCAGAGGCTGTACCTGCGGAGCCGGGGCGGCCGCCCCTAGGACCGCGGCCCCGCGACCTCGCCGCCCGCCTCCAGGGCCGCGGCCGGAGCCGCAGCCACAGCCGCAGCCACTGCCGCCCAGAGGAGGGGGCGTCCCCGGAGCCCGCGCCGCCGCCTCGGAGTCACCGGCCTCGGAGCCGCCGCGCAGAAGCCGCGCACGTGGTGGGTGCGGCCGCCGGGAGGCGGGGGGGAGGGGGCGGCCGCCGGGGTGAGGGGTGAAGGGTGAGGGCTGAGGGGTGAGGGGTGAGGGGAGAGGGCTGAGGGCTGAGGGCTGAGGACTAAGGGGTGAGGGGAGAGGGGAGAGGGCTGAGGCCTGAGGGGTGAGGGGAGAGGGCTGAGGGGTGAGGGGTGAAGGGTGAGGGGAGAGGGCTGAGGGGAGAGGGCTGAGGCCTGAGGACTAAGGGGTGAGGGGTGAGGGGAGAGGGCTGAGGGGAGAGGGCTGAGGGGTGAGGGGTGAGGGGTGAAGGGTGAGGGCTGAGGGGTGAAGGGAGAGGCCTGAGGCCTGAGGGCTGAGGGGTGAAGGGTGAGGGCTGAGGGCTGAGGGGTGAGGGGAGAGGCCTGAGGGGTGAGGCCTGAGGGCTGAGGGCTGAGGGGTGAAGGGAGAGGCCTGAGGCCTGAGGGCTGAGGGGTGAAGGGTGAGGTGAGAGGGCTGAGGGGTGAAGGGTGAAGGGTGAGGGCTGAGGGCTGAGGGGTGAAGGGTGAGGGCTGAGGGGTGAAGGGAGAGGCCTGAGGCCTGAGGGGTGAGGGGTGAAGGGTGAGGGCTGAGGGGTGAAGGGAGAGGCCTGAGGGGTGAGGCGTGAGGGGACGGGCTCCGCCCAGGTGGGGGCCCGACACGCGGGGGGCCGACCGGCCGAGCTTCTGCCCTCGGAGGAGGCCGAGCGCCGCAAACGGGCCCGGGCCCTCACCCCTGTGGGGCGGCCTAGGGCGGGGCTGCTGCTCCCGGAACCTTCGGCCCCCTGCCCCTGCCCGAGCTGCCCCAGCTGCCCTCTCCTCCCCCCATCCGCCCCCGCCCCCGCCGCTGTCAGCCGGCCCGGCCTGGCCGCGCTGCGGCGGAGGTTTGGCCCTGCGGCGCCCCGTAGCGCGCCCGGGGGGGGGGGCACCTTCCCGCGGGCACCCGGCTGGGCGAGGGGCGTCAGACGGTCCCGGGGGAAGGGCGAGTCCCCAGCGGCATGGACGTGTTCCAGAAGGTGGAGAAGATCGGCGAGGGCACCTACGGCGTGGTGTACAAGGCCCGGCGCCGCGACTCCGGCCAGCTCGTGGCCCTCAAGAAGATCCGGCTGGACCTGTGAGTGCGGCCCCGGCTCCCCTCAGGGCCGCACCGTGACCCGGGCGCCGCCCCCGAGGGTCCGCCCGCCGCCCCGGGGGTCCGCCCGCTGCCCACGGGGGTCCGCCTGCTGCCCCGGGGTCCGCCCGCCGCCCACGGGGGTCCGCCTGCCGCCCCGGGGGTCCGCCCGCCGCCCCGGGGTCCGCCCGCCGCCCACGGGGGTCCGCCCGCCGCCCCGGGGGTCCGCCCCCCGCCCCCCCGGGGTCCGCCCGCCGCCCTCGGGGGTCCGCCCGCCGCCCACGGGCTCCGCCCGCCGCCCCAGGCTCTGCCCGCCCCGCCATCAGGGCGTCCCGGAGCACGGGCCCCGCCGCTGAGGGCGCCATCCTTCCGGAGTGAGGAGCTCCTGCTGGCGCCCCCAGGGCAGGAGCCTCCATAGCCGCCCCCCTCTCCCTTCCCGCAGGGAGGCGGAGGGCGTCCCGAGCACCGCCATCAGGGAGATCTCCCTGCTCAAAGAGCTGAAGCACCCCAACATCGTCAGGTGAGGGCAGGAGCGGAGCTGGGCCTGTCCCCCCGGAGCCTGTCCTGACCCCGCCCCGCCCCCAGGCTGCTGGACGTGGTGCACAGCGAGAAGAAGCTGTACCTGGTGTTCGAGTTCCTCAGCCAGGACCTGAAGAAGTTCCTGGACGCCACCCCGGTGGCCGAGCTCCCCCTGCACTTGGTCAAGGTAGCTGGGGAGTCCGGGCGCCCCCTCCCTGCCCCCCTCAGCCAGGCCGCTCCCGCTCAGCCAGCTCTGCCTCCCTGTTGCAGAGCTACCTCTTCCAGCTGCTGCAGGGGGTGAACTTCTGCCACTCGCATCGGGTCATCCACCGGGACCTGAAGCCCCAGAACCTGCTCATCAACGAGCTGGGCGCCATCAAGCTGGCGGACTTCGGGCTGGCGCGGGCCTTCGGGGTGCCCCTGCGCACCTACACCCACGAGGTCCCCTGGGCGGGGGAGAGGAGGGCAGAGAGGGGAAGTCCCCGGGGCCCTCAGCCGCCCTGACCCCACTGCCCCGTCCCCCAGGTGGTGACGCTCTGGTATCGCGCCCCCGAGATCCTCCTGGGCTGCAAGTTCTACTCGACGGCCGTGGACATCTGGAGCATCGGCTGCATCTTTGCCGAGATGGTAGAGAGGGCAGCCCTGGCCGCAGGAGGGGCCGAGGAGGGGCAGCGGGGCAGGACAGGGTGGGGGGGGCTGAGTCACCCGTAGAGGTGCATTAAGGGACTGGCTAGGGAGTGGGGTCTTACCCCAGAGAGGCCAGGGCTTTAGCACAGCTGGCCTGGCCTCTTATCTGGCATTGGGTTCCGAGTGATAAGGGGGTGGACCCCACACCTCGCCCCTTCCCGCCTCAGGTGACCTGCAAAGCTCTGTTTCCCGGAGACTCGGAGATCGACCAGCTCTTCCGCATCTTTCGGACCCTGGGGACACCCAGCGAAGCCACGTGGCCGGGGGTCAGCCAGCTGCCCGACTATAAGGGCAGCTTCCCCCAGTGGGCCAGGAAGGGGCTGGAGGACGTGGTGCCCAACCTGGAGCCGGAGGGCAAGGACCTGCTCCAGGTGGGTGCAGGGAGGTGGCCGCCTCTGCGGCGGCTGCTCCCACCACCCACGTCCCCTTTGTGTGCCGCTGCCTCAGGCAGCCCTGCTCCTCCCGGGCTCAGCTGGCCTCCTTCCCGACCCTGCCCACCCTGGCCGGCCCTGGCCCGGGCCTGTGCATAGTGACTGTTCCACCTGGAGACACTTAGCCCCGGAAAGGTCCGGTGTTGACCATTCCTTTAGAACGTCTCTTCTAGCTGGCTTTGCGGGCTCTGCAGCGATCCTGGCCCTTTGCCCTGAGTTACCTTGTGTTCTTGGCCGTTTTCCCATCTGAGCCGTGAGCCTTTCCAGGCAGCGGCCACCCCTCCTGCGTCAGCGTTCCCCCCGCGCCTTCCACAGTAGTCACTCCCACGCCAGGCTGCTCCTGCTGCACCATCCTGATCCTCGGGCTGGCCAGGCCAAACTGCCTGGGGCCTCGGCAGGGCCAGCTATTCTCGCCCACAAGGGCTCAGAGGCACCTTTTCCTTCCACCCGTGTTGGGCCAGAGGCAGGCGGGGCCGTTTCCATCGTCCGACCTCGTGTCCCACTTTCCAGAGCGTGTGCTCACCAGCCCCGTGCCGGCTGCCCGCACTGCCTGCCGCCCAGCTCTCCCCACGGCGCCCTGGCTGCCCTCCTCCCAGGCAGTGGGTGCTCCCAGCCTGGCCGGGAAGAGGGTCTGGGTTCCTGCCCACCAGGTGGGGTTGGCCCCCACTTGCTGGTTCACAGAGCGACATCTGTCCGGGCTACACAGGCTGGGCCTGGGCACCGCAGCACAGGCCGGCTCTGCGGGCTGGACCAGCACCGCCGTGGCCTCCACACCCAGGAGTGTCCAGAGCTGGCTCGGGAGCTGGGAGGGGCGTTGTGCCGTTCTGGGTCTGAAGGCGGCCTTCGGGGGCTTGGGACCCGCCTGGCTTGGGAGGTGGTAATTCCTCTCCCACCCTGGCACACACAGGCCCAGTCTCCTCCTCCTCCTCCCTCCACAGCAACTCCTGCAGTACGACCCCAGCCAGCGCATCTCCGCCAAGGGCGCCCTCGCCCACCCGTACTTCTCATCCGCCGAGCCCTCCCGGGCCCCGCACCAGTGTGTGCTGGAGCGCTTCTGCCGCTGAGGACGAGGCCGCCGCCCCCTCCCGGCTTCCCAGCAGGGCCGTCAGGAGAGGGCAGAGCTGAGGAATCTGCATCAGCCGCCAGAGGGCAGTGTGTGGGTTCGTCCTGCCAACAAGTTAGCGAGTTCCTGTGTTGTTTGTTGGGTTCGACGGTGCCATTTCAAGACGGGGCACAGAAGCTCCAGGTGCGAGGGGCGTGTTAGGCCCTGGCTCTCCTGGCACTGGGCAGCAGGTCAGGGAAAGCAGGAAGCCTGTGCCGCCCGCCGGTGCTGCTGGGGCCAGGCGCTCCTCCGCCTCGCCCGCCCTCGGCTGCAGGGCCAGACCCTGCGGGGAAGGCTGCCCTCTGCTGGTCTTTCGGGATTTAAAATGTTTGGGGGAAGAGTTGAATCCCAAGTTACACTGGAAGGAGGGTGTCAGGGAGGGGGCACGTTCCTGGCCCCAGTGTGTGTGGCTGTTCTGAGTAGTTGTCACCTAGGATGTGTGTGCTTTTGTTCGATTCTGGACTGAAGAGCAGGAAATAAAAGTGATGCTCTGAGTGTCCTGTGTCTCTCTGCTGGGGGCACCGCAGGGACTTGCCTGTCTGCGCCCTCCTTCCACGGCCGCCAGCACATCCCTCCCAGAGGCCGCCCTTCCCCCACCCCGTCCTAGGACCCAATGGGTGTGCCCACCCCCCACGTGGGAAAGACTCATCCCCAGACAGGCCCACTCTGAGACGCTGGGAGGATTGGTTTATTGCAAGTACTGGGTGGGGGGGAACAGGTCTGCTGATGGGGCCTGGGGATGGATTGGGCACCAAGTCTGGGGAGGGAGCCCGACACCGCGAACCTGAGGGACAGAACAGGGACCAGACAGGAAGGCCACCCCCGGGGGTAGGCTGCGCCGGGGCGAGGGGTGCCTGCAGCCTATCCCCCCACCCACATACGCCCCGTGACTCGGCCGTGTCAGCGCCCGGAGGGGGAGGCAGCACGGCAGCAGCGGTACCCCTCCAGCGCCGCAGGCAGGAGCAGCAGGCCACTTAGGGGGTCCTTCCGGCAGCGCCCCATGGCCTCCTTGTAGCTCAGCCGCTCCTTGGAGATGGGGTCGGTGAGATCCTTCTCGTAGCCGGCCTCGTCCTGCAGGAGCTGGGCCAGCTCCTCGCTGATCATGCCAGACTGCACGGCCTGCGGGACGGGGATGCGGCCCGTCCGCTTGGGGTCGATGAGCCCCCCGGTCAGGTGCTGCACCAGCAGGTGCGGGAACACGCTCTCCCGGGGCATCCAGCCCTTCTGCACGGCCTCGCCCACCGACAGCCGCTTCTTGGTGACCGGGTCCTCGATGCCGGTGAAGGCCTTCTGGGCGTTGAGCAGCCGCTGCGTCGAGGTGTTCTCCACCAGCCCCCGCTCCATGGCCTTGTGCACGGAGTAGCGCTCGCGGCTGAGGAGGTCCACGATGCCGCCCGTGGCCGCCTGCGCCTCCAGTAGCTTCTGCCCGGTGATGGGGTCCAGCATGCTCTTGGCCATGGCCGTCTTGATGGTGCACTTGTTGTCGGTGGTGGTGTCGTAGACGCCGGCGATGGGGAAGCTGCCGTCGCCGAGGCAGAGGGAGGAGCCGGGGGAGAAGAAGCCGGAGCTCTGGGGGCCCGGGGAGGCGAGCGGGGACTTGGAGATGATGGAGCCGATGGAGAGCGAGGGGCAGGGCTTGGTCTCGCCGGCCACGAGCAGGGCGAACTCGGAGATGGGGAGGCTGCCGTCCCGGTACAGGTGGTACTCCTCCTTGGAGATGCGCCGGCACCGCAGGGCCGTCTCGATGGAGTACTGCTTCCCGCTCTTCCGGTCCAGGAGCACCGACTCCTCCCCGCAGGGGCCCGTCGTGGTGACCTCCTCCCAGTCGCACTCGAGCTCCTGCAGCTGGAGGTACTGGCCGCGGTCGATGATGCCCCTCTTGTAGGCCTCGTACGGGGACAGGTCCTTGCCCGTCTCGGGCTCCAAGATGCAGATCTTGGTGGAAAGGTTGGTCTCCCGCGTCTGGGTCTCCTGGCTGAGCTCCTCGCGGCTCACCCTGCCGTGGAGGTCCCGGAGGGTCCTCTCCTTCGCGTAGATCTGGTCCTTCTCCTGGAGGATGGCCGCCTTGAGCTGCGCGAGCTCCTGGCCCTGCTGGGCGGCCCGCTGCCGCTCGCCCTCCGACCGCTGGCTCAGCAGCTTCGCCTCCTCCTGCAGCTGCTGCACCTTCTGCTGCTTCTGCCGCTCCAGCTCCCGCAGCTCCTGCTGCAGCTGCCTGCAGCCCTGGCTCGCCTGGGCCCGGGCCTTCTGCAGCTCAGCCTCCTCCCGGGCCCAGGTCCTGCTCAGCTCCTCCGCCCGGTCCATCCGCTCCCTGAGGCGCTGCAGCGCCTCCTCCCGGCCCTTCCGGCCCGCGCGCTCCCTGCTGAGCATCTCCCACACGCGGGCCCGCTCGCCCTCCAGCACCCGGTCCTTCTCCACCCGGATCACCTCCTTGTAGACGGTCTTCTCCTGCGGCTTGGTCTTCTGCAGGACGTCGATCTGCACCTGCAGGTTCTTGCACTCGCGGTGCAGCTCGGCCACGCGGGCCTTCTCCCGGTCCAGCTCCTGCCGCAGGGCGCCCGCGGACTCCTCCAGGGCCGGGTCCTTCTCCAGCTGCACCACCTCCTCCATGATGATCTTCTCCTGCACGGCGGGCGGCCGCCGCTCCAGCTCCTGGATGCGCAGGCTCAGCTGCCGCAGCTCGCTCTCGGCGGCCAGCTTCCTGTGGCGGTCCTCCTGGAAGCTGAGCAGGCCCTCCTGCTCCTCCACGCCCGCCCGCAGCTGCTGCACCTCCCGCTCCAGCTGCCGCCGCCGGCCCGCCTCCTCGTCCAGGCTCCGGCTCAGCCGGCCGTGGTCCTCGTGGAGCTTGGGGTCCTTCTGGGTGACCACCACCTCCTGCACCACCACCTTCTCCTCGGGCCGCCGCCTCTCCAGCAGCAGGTACTTGTTCTGCAGCTCGTAGACCAGGTCCTCGGCCGCCCGCCGCTTCTGCGCCGCCTCCCGCACCTCCTGGCGCAGCCGCTCCGCCTCCTTCTCCAGCACCGGGTCCTTCTCGTGCCGCACCACCTCCTTGCTCACCGTCTTGGTCTCCACCTTGGCCCGCTCCCGCCGCCACTCGTCGCGCTCGCCCTGCAGCCGGATGCGCTGCTCCTGGGCCCGCCCGCTGGCGTTGACCAGCTCGTTGAGCTGCGCCTTCAGGCGGTCCACCTCCCGCAGCACCTCGGGGCTGCGCTCGTGCTTGACCACCTCCTGCGTCACCTCCTTGTACTCCACCCGGGGCTTCTGGGCCCGCAGCACGGCCAGCTCGGGCAGCAGCCGCTCCACCTCCTCCTCCACGCCGCTCCTCCGGCCCGCCGTCTCCCGCAGCTCGGCCCGCAGCCGCGCGATCTCCCGCTCCGTCTGCGGGTCCACCTGGAAGGTCTCCCGCACGCGCTCCTGGAGCTCCACCTTGGGCTGCTGCCTCTCGGCCTCGCGGTACTTGCCCTGCAGCTCCTGCAGCTCCTTGGCCAGCGCCGCGTTCTTGCCCCGCTCGCCCTGGAGGAGGCCCCGCAGCCTGGCCGCCTCCTTGATGAGGCCCGGGTCCTGCTCCACCCGCTTGGCCTCCTTCACGATCACCTTGGGCTGCACGCTGCTGATGGCCCGCTCCAGCTCCCCGATGCGCGCCTGCAGCTCGGCCACGGCCTGCTCCGCCCTCTTCCTCTGCGCGGCGTCCTCCTCCATCTGCAGCCGCAGGGCCTGCGCCGCCTTGACCATCTCCAGGTCCTTCTCCACCTTGACCACCTCCTTCACCACCACCTTCTCCGTCACGGGCACCTCCTGCTGCTCCAGGGCCAGCAGCTCGCCCTTGAGCTTGTCCAGCCGCGCGGAGACCGCGGCGTTCTCGGCCGCCAGGTGCTGGATCTCGCCGCTCAGCTGGGCCGCCTGGCTGTCCAGGCCCGGGTCCTTCTCGATCTGGGTCACCTCCTTGGTCAGCAGGTGAGGCTGCGCGGCCTTCCTCTGGCTCTCCAGCTGGACGACCCTCTGGGCCGCCACCTCCAGGTCTGCCTGCAGGCCGGCCCGCTTCCTGCCCTCGTCCTCCACCTGGGCCTTCAGCTGGGCCAGGCCACTCTCCAGCTGGGGGTCGCGGTAAACCTCCACCACCTCCCTCTCCTCCAGCCGCTCCAGGGGCCGCTGGGTCCGCAGCTGCAGCAGCCGGTCCCGCTGGCCCTGCAGCTCGCGCTGCACCTGGGCCACCCGCTTCCGCTCCGCCTCCAGCTGCGCCTTCAGGGCCTCTGCCTCCCGGCCCGCCTGGGCTGGGGCCTCGGAGCCCTGCCGCACACGGTGGGCCGCCCGGATGTCCTCACTCAGCTCCTTCTGCAGGGAGGGAAGAGGGGGGCGCTGTGGAGGGTCAGACCCTCCCGCTTCCTCAGACACCCTCCCCATCGCGTCTGGGAGGCGGAGCTGAGACTGGGTATAGAGGGGACCTGTCCAGCCCAGGCGGCGGGATGCGAGGTGGGGTCTGGGCCAAGTTTGCACGGAAGCGTGTTCCCACCCAACCTTTCCCCATTCTCCTTCCAACCGGGCTCCCAGAAATGGGTCCACACTCTCGGGGGATGCTGGGTTACCCCTCTGGGTAGGAAAAGCTGGTGAGTCCCTCGGCCAGTCCCCAGGAGCGACAGGGGAGACTAGGGGGGCTCTTGCCCACGACCGGGACCTGAGGGCGAGGACTGGGGGCATTCTCTCCGGTTCCCACGGGGGGCTGCCCAGCGGCTGAGCTGTGAGCCCCTCAGTGACGCCTCAGGACCTTCCTCTGAGACGGAGCCCAGCCTGTTAGAGCTGCCGGGGGAGGCCGGGGAGGCGGAACCCCAGCCTGAGGAGGCGGGCGAGGGGAGAGGAAGACGCTGGCCCCGTACCTTCTCCAGCATCCTCCGGGCGAACTCCAGCTGGTGCAGCCGCTCCTGGTGCACGGCCACGGCCTCGGCATAGGCCTCCGCCAGCTGCTTCTCCTGCAGCCAAGGGAGGGCAGAGGCCGGTCAGCTCCCGCCCGAGGCCACAGAGCTGGTCCCCCTGGGCCCCGCCTCACCTGGGCCTGGACGCTCTCCTGCAGGGGCGCCACTCGGGGCCTCTTGGGGGCCGGCCCCGCCTGGGTGGGCTCCAGGGAGCAGCGGTAGGTGTCCGCCTGCAGCGCGTAGTCCTGAGCAGAGCGGGGCCACAGGCCGCGGTCAGTGAGGGAACGGGGTGGGCCGGCGGGGACGGGCAGGGGAGGGGAGGGGCGGCTGGATAACGAGGGGCCCACGGGAGGAGGCTCACCTGGAGCGCCTCCTGCAGGTCCTGGGAGAGGCGGGACGCTGCGGCCCTGTCCGGCTCCCGGCCCCGGATCTCCCGCAGCAGCCTCTGCTCGGAACGGGAGGGTCCGGGGTCAGAGCACCGGGCACAGGACTCCCCTCAGCCAGGCGCCTCCAGGCCCAAGGCAGGGCAGGAGGGTTCTGCCCTGTCCCTCCCGGACCCGCCGTGCCCTCGGCTCGGACATCTCAACCCCC